AAAAACTTGCTTAATACTCACAATCGATCATGCCTTCAAACTGTGTGATCTTTTGAGATCTTGTCATTGCTCGTGCAATGACAAAGATCTCTTGAGAACAATGACGCAGCAATGACAAAGATATGTCACCGGTTGACGACAGACGAAAGAATCTATGCTAGGGATTATACAAGCGCGAGCCGACACGTACGACAGACAACATGGGACGCCAGACGTGGCAACGAGCGGGTTGGCATTACAGAACGGGAATAGCTCGGCAATTTACAGTATCGACCTCCAATCGACCTCCGTTTCGGTTTTCCAGGAGAGCCAGCTGAATTTGCACCAGAGCATTATTCTAATTAAACAAAAATTAAAAGAACCAAAAGTCAGATTGAAGATTCCTTGCACCTTGGGAGTCGATTCAAACAGAGATAGCCTTCTGATTTTTCAACATTATTATTACTCTTTCAAAAATTTAAAATAATCTGTTCCATCATTTTTAGAGAAAAGATCCAATTTTCAAGTTTCCCAGTGTTTTGCCTTCAGTTGCGCTTTTGTGGAAACACTGAAGCTCGTGAAACGATTCAAGGAAGAAAGCCTGCAAACACGCACGTAGTCTAGCTACAACATGCAACGCCAGGGAGCGACCAACAGTTACAAGCCTCCAACCACAGGATCACCCAGCCAGTCAGCAGTTCTCCGTAGTGTCCACTATGTCGTCTTTGTGCAGGAAGACAGATCGGAACTCGTATTGGAAGCAAGGTTTTGTCATGAATGGAGACATGGAGGCTCCAAAACTGACTCGAAGCAACAAGGCCGTAAAACAATGCCCGCAGCAGGCAGTGACACCAAGAATCGAATATTACCAGTCTGGATAGTGATGCTGAAGAGACCACAATAGTAGTTTTGTGATACGAAGTAAGCGACTTTTTCTTTTTATTTGTATAGAGGGGCTAGACTATGGATACTGCAGTGCTTTTTGTCTTGCCTCAGCGCCCGTTTCTCTCCGCCTCATGGCTCAGGACAATGTCACTCCTTTGGTTTCGATCATGGTTCGTGGAGACGGTAGGGAACGGTACCGGTACCGGTACGTGTAGGACAGCTTTCCGGGCTTATTACAGAAGTTGCTCCCAAGACTCAAACAAAGATCGCGGCATGCACCACGGTCCGTCACATTTTGATGTTGACCATGATGTTGAGCAACAACCATGAGCAAGATGACAATGGTGGACAACCGGTACGCCATCGTAGGATCCAACAAGATGAAGAATCGGATGATCATGATGACTTTGTGAACGACGGGTTGATGGTGGTTGACACGGCAGAGTTGGATCTTGAGATTACCAACCATGCGGGTAGAAGACACCGTGGACTGGTCCTCATACTAGCCACGGTGATGGTGATTCTGTTGGTCGTACTGACTGTTTCCATTTCGAAGAGTGGTGGGGAGTCGCAGAGTGTGAAGAACGTCGCTGGCAAGGCTCAACAGGTTCCGATCAAGCCAAACACAAAAACCTTGGGAAGCCAAGATGATGCTACGGCACCAACAAGTGCCGTCCCTTCTACGACAAGTACGACTGACCCCAGCACTCCGCCAGTGCCGACAACTCCTCCCACAGCAAGCAGTGCACCCACTGCAAATCCTACACAAGCCCCGTCTCTTTCACCATTGCCAACCCCACAACCATCCGCAATGACGTTGGGCTGTTTGCCAGACCGTTTTGACAATGAAGAAATGGATCTATCCGTAGATCCTGAAGTCAATTTCAACAAGCTCTATCCTGGTCAATTCATTTGTTCCAAACCCTACAACAATCCCACCCAAGATCAGCCCCATCCACAACGATACCACTTTGGGCTGAACGAAGCAGGAGACGTCGTTTGGATTGACACGGAGGCCAACGAAACCAAACTGATCTACGAGAATCTACACCACGCTCAGGTCTACTTTTCCTTACGGATAGATGCCACCATGGTACTCCAAGATGCTCAAAACAACACTGTACTGTGGGAGGGACCGGCCGTCAACACGAGGCATCCCATGTCTCACACACCCCGATGTCTCTCCAACCATGACTGTCCCTATTTTCATTTGCATTCCGATGGAGTCTTGGTGCTCAATTACATTGCCGGTGACGGAGCTGGCTGGATCGCACGCAACATTTTTCGAGTATATGATGTTTGAGTGGAAACCAATGTTGCTGTTGTACCGATGTATGTATCAGATTCTGTTCACCATCATGGGAATCTGTACCGGTAAAGAAGGCCAATTTGATCTTTCTGTTATAGACAATTATAATTGTGCACATTCGGATTTTTGAGTGGAACTGAAAACCGCAACCCCAAGCTCCAAAGTGCTGGCCCTGGGTCCACCATTAGCCACCACGTTCCCTGTACTGTAGTCCCCAAGGTCTTCAGCTGTCATCTTCTGCTTAATGTGAATTGTGATGGAGCCTCGGGAGTACTCCGCACCGTGCCATATTTGAGAGAACCACTTCTTTGCATGCATTTTGCCACGCTTCCTTAGTACCGGTATGGTGGATGATTTGACAGGTATCATCGTCTCCGTACGTCAATGTCCCACATGCAAATTCGGCAGCTTCCATGCATTCAATGATCGCGGCCAGCTTATCCATGGTAGATCTCAAAAGTAAGAAAGCAGCTTCGTTGGCAAATCGCCTCTGGAGGCAGTCCAATGAATCGTTCATTGGCAGCTTCCATGCTAGGGCTGAAATACAGTCTTTCCAATCGCCCAACTGGTAATGTGCACACCCCACAAAATGTTGGTGTACTTCAGCTGGCATGAGCTTTTTTGCCAATGATACAAGCACGTTGATGAACAATCCAGTGTGAAAATGCTTGAAGTAATTTATCTTTAAATTAATTCGTACACCAACCCATATCTCTCCAAAATTCCTGAACCACTTGAAAACTTAGTACTGGTACTGGTACGGTAGCGCATGGTGAGTACGTCCCGTCCCCCAAGCCGTACCGTACTGTACTCACCGTACCGAAAGTACCGGTACGGTCATTGTGTCGTCGGTTGCTCTGCTTAAGTAAAGAGACACTTGAAGGGAACGCTTGAAGATGAGCCAAAGAACACAGTCGTTCCGTGTCTTCACCATCATGATTGAAGCTCAAAGAGACTAGCTAGAGACAAAGTCCATGAAAAATAATGCTCATGATTTCGTCAACTACTGGTACCGGTACCTTTCTGGCATCCTGGCTCCCTTCCATTATTTTCCGGTTTTGACAAACTTCCTGCATTCTGTGGGCGCGCCGTAAAGCTTGTCCTAACTGGCAAATCATAAAGTCGCTCAAAGAATTCAGTTCCGGGTCCAGCTCCACGCCTGCTTAATTTGCAAAGCCCACGTTTGCTCCTGATCAGAGAGTGCCATCCTCTCATTCTTTGTGTTCAATGCATTAAAACGATTTGCACCCCCGACCAGCCGAACGTGGCCTCAAGTTCGTTTCTTCGAGCGCATGATGGACATTTTGACGAGCAAGATTATGATTTGAACGTTTGAGAATGAAAGCCGAAAGGAGAGGATTGGCTGGGGAGAGCCGAAAGGAGAGGATTGGGGAGAGCACACGCATACTAGTACCGTACAGGTACCGGTGCTGCTAATGGAGCGACAACCAAACGGATTTGCCAATCTGAGACCAAACTCAAGTCAAAGCGGTGATCATTCCCAGAATAAATCACCGTCTTGTACATGTACAATAATGGCATAGCTACCGGCATTCAATCTAATCTGCAGCTGCCTGGCTGGCAGCTAGCTAGCTAGCTAGCGGGAGATGAACTAGACAGTCGGTGCCAAAGATCGGGGTATGGTGCCCTCCTGAGTAGCACAGTCTGAGTACATTTACCGGCACGTACCTGCGTACCTGTAAAGTACCCGTACCAGTACATGTAGCGATACCGTACCGGTACGGTACCATACCGGTACCACCGATACGGTCATTGCGTCGGCGAAGGCTCCTGCTTGCTGAAATGTTCTAAACAGACACTTGAAGAGAACACTTGAAGATGAGAAAAAGAACACATACATTAGTCCACATTTTCAACCGGTGCAATTCTTGCATGGCGAGGCAAACAGCACACAATCGATCACGGCATATGGTCGCAATCCTTTTGAACCATCGCAACTGCATCCATCGAATCAAGCGTGATGAACGTGAATGGTGAAGATATCTTATCTGCTGGACGATGGGTAGCTCTTAATGATGCCAACGAAGCTGTGGAGTCAGACGCAGCCGGCGAGTCAAACGATGAAGAGACGTACAACAGCTCTGACGGCGAAGGATCGGACCATGAGGAGGAGGAGGTTGCTGTCAATCCAGCTCTCCCGATTGGTGGTGGAATTCGGATGCGACTTTCCGATGCTGAACGCCAGTGGGCGATTGCCATCAAAGAAGCCATATCGCAAGACCCAGACTTGGATAGTTTATCCGATTTTGAGATTACCCAATTCGCCCTGGTTCAACAAGATGACATGGAGGCTGTGCTGGAACGTGTCCACAAAATGCAAGCCTTCAAACAAGAATATAGCACTGTTGACAACTTAGGATCTGCAAAGAGAGTCCTTCAACGATGCATGGATCTATTTCCGGGGCTCTTCCTGTCCCTTTCCTACAGCCAACCATTAGAAAGGTACATAGTTGCAATCGATATGACCAAATTCTTCAAGAATCGTGTGGACAATGATGAAAATGCATTGAAAGCATGGATGAATTTTGGATACTACATGTTCCATTCCATGAATCCAGATTTTGAATCTGTGCGACAAGGTGTTATTTTGCTTGTCGAGTGTGGAGGGTTCTGTTGGCACAGAAATGTTAATTTGGAGCTGTTCAAGATGTTTTGGTTGGATTTTGTCTCTGCGTATCCCATAAAAATGAAGAAGATCAGGCACTTCCATACAAGTCTCTTCTTCAACCTGCTTGCCTCAATGGTAAAACCATGTATTCCCAGTGATATAAAGCCAGTATTTGAAATTGGGTGTGTTTCCTTGTTTGGCCGCTTGGATCAAGTTTACTTGACTCCCAACGTGGAGACGGCCAACAAAAAGTTCATGGCTAGATTTGAGGGCAGTTTACAAGTACGGTATCAGAATGCAAGCGGGTTCAGCCTGTAGTCTCTGGGGAATGAAGTTGGAAGTGCTGGGTTGAGCTACAAACGAGCTGACACTTGCATAGGAAGCGCCCGCAGATTCCAGGGCCTAGCTAGGCGGCAGCACAAAGCAATGGATACGGTATCTCTTGTAGGCTAGCTATATAACAGCTTCAAAAATTGCTATCCCTTCCTCTGTGTTGTCTCGATTTCCATCTGCTTCCCTTTTAGTGCTCTTGCGGCAGGGAATTCTATTCTGACTTCAATGTTAAATGGAAGCATACCGGTACGATCCTCGATCTCCTTTTCATTCTTCAGGACCGAGGACGGACTTAAAAATAAATAAAGAAGCCCAAAGGAACAAGAAGGAACAAGAAGTCGTCAAATGACCCCAGCAGCATCCCGCCTCCAACATCGGTTTCACTGACACCTTTGCATTATTTTATTTGCGCACTGAGGATTCTTTACTGCATCAGCATGAACGAAGGCGACGGCGACCCAATACACGGACCTCCTCCCCATCAAGTACCCGAAGGTGGCGAAATACAGAGGGCTCTTGACGCCTTGAATAACTTGAATGACCAGGACTCGCAACATGCGGCCAATGGCGACATCCAGTTCGATGAGATACCCGCGCTGGGACCGACCGATGGAGGACGAATGGAATTGTCTGACCATGAACGCCAGTGGGCGTTGGACATCAAAGAAGAAATGATACGAGATCCCGAGTTGGATGTTATGTCTGATTACGATATCGCACAGATAGCGTTAGTAGACCAGGGGGATACAGAGGCTGCCATTGATCGAGCCTACAAAATGCAAGGGTTTAAGATGGAGTTCGATGTCATTGACGAACCAGCACATGGAAGGAGGATACTCCAGCAATTCATGGATCTGTTCCCCGACCTGCTCTTGTGCTTCTCGTACAGCCATCCACTGGAACGATATGTGGTGGCAATGGACGGAACAAAGTTCGATGCAAAAACTTTGAAACATAATCCACAAGCACTACAGACAATGATGTGTGTCGGGTACTACATCTATCATGCCTTGAATCCAGATTTTGAATCTATTCGACAGGGTGTGATTCTTTTGGCGGAGTGTGGAGGGTTCTGCTGGACACAGCATCTGAGCATGGACCTTTTCAAAATGATCACGTCGGATTTTATTTCTGTCTATCCCGTCAAATGGAACAAGATCAGGCACTTCCACACAAGTTTGTTTTTCAACCTTGTGTCCTCAATGGCAAAACCATTGATGCCTAGTGATTTCAAGGAAGTGTTTGAGGTTGGTTGCGTTTCCTTATTGGGGCGTCTGGATGAAGTCTATCTGACTCCCACAAGAGAGGCTGCGACTGAAAGATTCAAAGATCGGTTGGCTACGAGTCTTCAAAGAAGGTACCAGAATGCCAGTGAATTCACTCTCTAATTCACAGGCATGGTAGCACAAACATTTATAATTCTACAGCCTGCTTGGCATTTCCCCAGCTTTTGGCTCTCGTGCTAGTTGTGACCTGCTCAAGCCCAACTCGGGTGCCGTATGAGGCATAAAAATCAAACAAGGAGCAATAGTAGCAACCTCCAATAGCTCAGACTGGCTTGATACAACTCAACTGTACATATACGGTTTACGTCCGTCCGTACGGCTGCGTACAGAAGCCGTGGCAAATCGCAACAGAGAAGCCAAGTTGCCACCATACGATCAGATGGTGGGGTCAATACTCCAACGGTAGCCACAGCAGGTAACAGGACACATCGATCGCTCTGTTGCATGTATGAAGGAAGTAGTAAAGGCGACTAGTCGCTAGCTAGCTAGCTAGCTAGTATCACTGGCATACGGTACGAAGTAGCATGTACCGGTATTTCGAAGAGATGTGATACGTCATCACGAACGAACGTGCACCAGTTGCTGTGCACGATCCTGAGCACACACAAGGCTGAGCCTGTTGATGCGCCACACGCACACGCGAGAGTGAAGAGGAAAATCGATTTGCCATGTTTCGTCCAAGCGATTCAGGTCGTCGCGTGGATTTGTCTCTTCTCAAATACTGTAGAACACCAATGCGCAGCACCTGTCTGTCAAGGAAGACATAAGATCGCGAGCTAGATAATTTGGCTGACTTTTTGAACTTGTGTAAAAATCCCTTCGTGTTAGAGCAGCAAGGCGTCACTGAGGCTTCTTTGGAATGAATGAGCTCGCATGTCAATAATGAGTTGAAGGCATTCAAGGAGGAATGCGGTATTGTTGTTGACGACCAGCAGGCAAATATCTTACAGCGTCCCTCTGGAGTGTTGCATCCTTGCAGATACCAGTACCAGTACCGCAGGAACCGGATAGTCTACCTTGCTGGGGGCTGCTTGCTTGTGTGCTCCTTTTTGAGGACTGGTTTGTGCACTGGATTTGGTCATCCCAACCAGTATGTTGACTGCATGGTCGTTCGTTCTGCCGCTGCGAGTTCTGTTCGACTCCTTCTCGCTTGCTAGAGCTTGTTCTGTAGCCAGCTAGCTAGATAGCTCACAACTGTCTGTAGATTGTTGCTTTTTGCTATGCGATCGTTTCGATTCCATCTTCGTCTTGTTGGTTGTCGGACTCCTTTTCTTGCCGTCTTTTTTCTTTTTGTTGCTGCGATGCATTGTGGTTGGACGACGACGCATCCAACCGGAGGCCGTCCCCAGGTGCTGCACGTGGTTCTTCTTCTTCTATCAATACTAGCGCTGACGCCACTGGACAAGGATGATTGGTGGCGATGATGGTTGTCGTGTTGTTCTGATTGATGTTGTCGTCGTGAGTTGTAGCGCCTGGAACCGGACAGTGCTGTTCCTGCGGCACTTGTTCGGCACTCCTCCATGGCAGAGTACTACTGGGATCGTCCTGTACCGGTCGTTGCTGTTGTGAGGAGGAGTTGTGATGTTGATTGTGAGACGACGAATGCTTCGAGTAATGTTGATTCCGTTCTTGGGCGGATGCAAAGGGATGCCAGACAGCTTCCTTGACGGCAAACCATCGTCCCGCAGTGGGAAATGTCCGTCGTATATTGAGATACGTGGGTCGAATATAAATGACAAAATTGAAAATGCCTTGACTGGGAAAGAGTGTGAGTTGAATGGCCGTCAACCAAAAATGGTTGCCGAGGGAATCCATTTCGGTGCCCGCCAAATGAAAACAAAAACTGAGGAGTGCCCAAATGGAAAAGTTGAGAAACCAGAGACCGTAGAGCATGGATTGAATGACGGCTTGTTTTAGTAACTTTTCTTGTCCTCGTGATGGAGTGGTGTTGTTGTTGTTTGCGTTCAATACAGAAGAGGATGGTGTCGTTCGAAAACTAATCATGCGGTACATGGAAGAAGAGCGTTCGGGGAGTGGTGTAGTAGTAGTAGTACCGGTACTGGTGGGTTTGAAGACATGCGCAAATCTGGTGCGGTACTGTGTGTATACAGTGAGAGCAATGACCATGGTACAGACAATGGTAAAGGAGACCCAGAAGATGTAGGGATAGACGAGCATCCACTGTCCAAAGATTTTGACATTGGGTCCTCGTGTACACTCGATGCCGGCATCGTCATCTTCACATCCCAGTGGCATGGCACCGACCCAGCATTGGACTCCGGACGGATTAAAGATTTGCCACACTAGTCCGACCACCGCAGTGGCGCCAAAAAATCCCACACCCAACACGTGCATGACAGGTTCGACTCGTCTGACGAGAAACCGACTGGTGACATTGTATCGAATGACCAGCACAAAGTAGAACAGGAGCATGGCCGAATAGACAAAACTACCACAGCCAATGTGCAGTAGAAATCCCTGAGCGGTACACGTTTGTTGTGTCCCATGCGCTCCCGGTACTCCATACTCTTGTAATTCGGATGGCATGGGCAACGGACCAAACGCCAATGCCAACGACATGATCCAATCGCAACAACTCAATCCACCCAATAGACGTTGGTACGTCGTCAAGGGACCGTCGTGATGATAAATCGCTCGCAGTGTCAACGACGAACCCACCATGGACAATGGCGCTATCGCGCACGAAATGAAAAACAAGTAATTCAACTTGGATTCCATTGACGACATTGACGACGAAATGTCATTCCCCATCTTTGATTAACTGATGAAACTGATGAAACTGATGATTCGATTCGATAGGAACGTAGAGGAGGATACTAGCTAGTAGGATGTGGTCGAGGGCAATCGGTGAGGGGTATAAGCGGTAAGCAGTGCTCTTCGGTTTTCTTTGCCCTGGTTGCTGCTGCCATTAAACAACAGCTTTTTACGCAATGTCTCAATGTCTCCCTTCTCGCATGTCGACGTCGTCGAGCAACACTTAGTTAGATCTAATTGTATGTACCGGTACCATTGTACCGGTACTCATTGCTGCATACAGCCCGGGTGACCGTAAACCGCTCCAGAAGATACGGTAGATGTGGACGCACATTTATTTGGAGTTTGAAACAACCCCACACCTGCAAAAGACCTTTAGCCCGATTAGCCACCTATTGCTTCATAGTGCTTTCTCTGAGGATCCCACTCAGTCCAGTAGATACGGTACCAGTACCTACCTGCTCAGCACTGCAAACTGCAAAGCTAAAGTTGGAGGTGTGCTGATGCTTGGCTGCTTATCAAATGCGAGCTGCTGGCTGGTTTGCCACTTGTTGCTTCGCTCCAAATGAGTGACTCGACTCCTCTGCATTGGCTTGCCCCCCCCCCCCGGGAGCAGTATCACCACTGAGTGTTGTTGAGCTTGGCCGTGATTCAGAAATGAATCTTCCAAGTACCAGTATGCTGTCAGCAATGGGTGTAGTTTTTGCCGCCAAGGCTTGCACATGAGTCCAGGTACAGAGGTGCCGTTTTGTTTTCACAGAGGTGCGCCCAGTAGAGGTGCAGAATGTTTGCCACAGAGGGGCAACACGTACCGTAGCGATGTTGAGGTAGAAGTCAGAGACTGAGGAATGCAATTGCACCTCTCAGGCGCAAAACAAACAAAACCAGGTACCGAAGCATGAAGATCCCAAGAAAAGCACATTCGATGGATGGCGTCTGGCCCAATCATCCTTCAGTTATTTTACAGCACTTTGTGGCTTGTGGGAGCTCTTGTATGATAGTTATATATTTTTGTGCTGGCTGATCACCGTTCCCACTTGATCTGCCGAGGCTAGCTAGGACCGTCCGAAGCTTTTTGCTCAGGCTTTGAAAACTGCCACCATTTATAGGGAATGTGTGAGGGAATGGGGCTTTAGCGCTTTGATTGCCGATCCATGTGGTGAGACATGGATACAAAAATAAATGACCAGTTCAGACAAACCAAGGACGTGTCACTCGGAACCAACACATCCATTGTCAAGCATCAACAACACCTGCAAAGAATCGAATTGCTGCTGAGCATGTCTCCCAATTGACCTCGTAGAATTGGCAGCAACCCCAATAGACATCGTAGTGTGTACCGGTATAGCAAGTCTGCTGTCCGCATTCTGTACCGTACAGTAGCAGAATAAGATGATTCGGTACCAAAATGTCGTCTCCTTGTTGGTCTGTCTTCGAAGTAAGATCATCTGCCTACCGGTATAGATGTCTGAGTACGATACACAAATGTTTCTCACTGACTGTTGATAACAACCCTCTGATCCTTACTTTTGGCAGTCGTTCAAGCTGGCGGTACCCCCGGCAAATCATCCTTCCTCCGCACAAACAATAATGCGACACTCACTTCTCGCCGTCTTACCCGAGTCGATGCGCACACGGTACAACCATTCGCCGGCGACGAGGTACACACCGTCTGGATCCATGGACCGTCTCATAAGGCACAGCTAGGTGGTTACTGGCCAGGTTTGGGAGATACCGTCCGAACATATCCCGCAGGTCACGCCTGTGATCCCCAACGCGATGCCTACACGGGATATCACGACAATGGAGCCTACTGTCAAGTCATGAATGATCACTTTGAAAAGAATCCACATTTGGTCGTTCATAGTGGCAATCTGGGCATGGTATTGGATGCTTCGGCCGCACAAGATGGCACTCTGGTACGACAGCTGGGAGCCGTCACGGAAGGGCAGTCTACCGAAGAGATCTACGAGACTTTACCGTATTCCAATGCGTGTGCCACCCTCACACTCATGTGTACGAATCTGACGGGCATTGACTATTCCGTGACTCTGACAGCCGGACTGGAACCGGACACCAAGGCAAAGTTGGGATTAATACGACAAGGTCATGCCGTGACTCATATTGATGTTCGAGAGCTCCATTGGCTGGTCAAGGAGACTGGCCAACACTTGCGAAAACCGGAATGTGACGGATTACCGGAGGAACCCGTTCAAGATCCTTCCAATGAAAACTGCAATACAGACTATGGGATTCCCTACGGGAGGTCTTGTCAGAATCCAGACTATCCAATTTGTGCGGATCACATCCAAGGTCAGCAATGGGGAAAGTGTTATTCAGATCCCTCCATTTGCAATCTACCCTTTCCCAAACCGTGGCTGGAAACCATCCTTTGGCCCGACTTGGTGGCATTTCATCTTCACTGGAATGGAACCGAAGGAATTGCAGAGTATGGTTGTACCGGACAGGTTCAATTTTCGGTTGCGCAGGGAGACAAGGTCATTACCAAGACCGACAGGTTTGAAACGGGATCTACTCTTGCTGTCCTGCTCACAACCAAAGAGGGAACGTCTGTTCTCCAGGAGAGCTCCATGGCACCGCATGACTTGGATGTCACAAGTACAAAAGCGACGGTATTGGCGAGAGACTCTTATCAAGACATATTGGTAGACGTCCCACAGACCACGGCACGGTGCGGATATCATTATTGCGAAAGGGAGGATATGATTGATGTCAGTGTGGGCAATCCCAAGGACGAGCCACAAACGATTCGCCTGAGCTTGACCCGCAATTTTCCAACCTTTATGGAGGATGTGCTTCCCCGCAATCGCAACCGCATTGGTGCCGAGATTACAGGCTTCAACGTCATTATCATGGATGCATCAGGGATTGTGCCACTAGGCATTCCCGGTCACATCTCCAAGAACTGGCACCATGTGGATGGGTTTAAAAGCTACTATAGTGGCGTTTGGTGGACTTACAATGTCTTTCTTCGTTTGCCTCCCAAGGCCAAGATTGACCTGCAGTTCAAGATTGTCTATGAAAAATACGGTGGAGTCTCTGCTTTTTCTCACGCGCAACTGTCGATTGTCGGCTACTCCAATAAGTGGCTTTGGGAAGAAGCTGCGCTGGGGACTGGAGGGGAGAACTTTTGCATGGATCCTTTGGGCTCTCATACGCGAGCCCCCATTACAGACGTCCGCGTCAAGCTCTTTGATGGAAAGTGGAAGGAAAACGTCGGTGGTGGCGAGTTTCTTCTCTACTTTGATGACAAGGGAGTCATGCAGTCCTCGAAAAAGGGGCTAGATGCTCAGCTGCACGCCAACGGCCCCTGTCTTTCCAATGCAACTTACACATCCGTCACCATAGATGGCGCCATTCAGTCGAGAGTGCAAGTTAGCGGTGGGCGGACTGATGACCTCGTGCGCATGTTCATCCATCTAAGGTATACTGTTGTCAACGCTACCCAGTTCTCCCGGTTGGTCTTTTTCCAGATGGGATCAGAAACCTACAACAAACACGCAGTGTTTGGCCGCTTTGTCTTTGGAGCGGGAGACCAAGTTACCCACAACTTTGCGCGTACATGCACGGGGCGAACGGCTTTGTACAGAGAAAAGCTCTACGACAGGCTTGGTGTTTACCGCGAGAATCTTCCAGCCCACGGTCCTTGGTGGTTTTCAATGGCTCCGACTGAAGGACCTGCCTACGACGCGGCTTCAGAAACCATGGTTGTCGGAAATCGTGGCCTTGTGATTCGCGAATTCGATGCTCGTTTGCATGGTCAATCATTCACGAGCCCTTCCATCTCTGTTCTTTGCGACAAACTTGAAGTTGGGACGCCCAAAGGAATTTCGGAGCTCATCGTCGGAGACTATGTCGACATGAAGCTTGAGATGGTTGTAAACCCACAGATAGGGGCCGATTTTGATGCTGCGCTTTCCAACTCTGGAGGCTCCCGGTCACTGCAAGTGTTGAACAATCTGCCCGAGCCCTGGGAACGCGTCCAAGCACAAGCAACGTATCACATCCAGGTCAGGGAACCCGTTCCTCAGGGCGCTCGTGTCGAGTCGCAGTATCCCATTCGAGTGTGCGTGCCCGATTATACGGACAGTGTCGAATTCAAAGTCTTTGGTAAGGCATTAGGCTATGTGCCGATTGTCATCTGTGGCTTGTCTTCTGCAAGAGTAGAGAATGGACAGGGACTTTGGTACAAGATTCAGGGGAAAGACGATGACTATACGCTGCTCCAAGATGCCACTATCCATCGACAAGTAAATTACGACCGAGAAACGGGACGCTACGAGCTCGTTTTCAATGTGGAAATCCAGACGGAAGATCAGTGCACAATCTTTGCGTTCGTTCCTTCAAACAATCCCACCTACGTACCGACCGGAGTTCCGAGCAAGGTTCCCACACCGTTGCCGACAACGTCGCCGAGCACCACCCCAACAACTCTCGGCCCGACGACTGGTCCCACAGATAGTCCAACTTTTCTGCCAACGACTCTCACACCTACTCTCGCCCCCACAAGCGCACCCTTCTTCAGTCCTACGATAGCACCAACGACAGCCCCAACAGTTGAGCCAACTGAACGCCCAACAACTCTGTCTCCTTCTATCACCAGCGGGCACCCAAGTGCTTCACCCACCACAGGCAGCCCAACAGGATTACCCACGGGATTTCCCATTGCTGCGCCAACCAATGCACCTACAGGGACGCCCCTGTCAACGCCTACACGAACACCAACAGGATCGCCTAGAGCGTTCAACCCTTCCCCGACAACACCCTCGAAAACCGGAGGGATGTTTGGGGACCCTCATATCCTGACTTGGAGGTAAGCAACATGTGCTTTCAGTGCTGAGATTCTCATCCACCGCAAGCACTAACAGACGTTGATCTTGTACTTGCGCTCTCTTCATGAAAGTGGCTCCACGTTTGACTTCCATGGAGCCTGTGATCTTGTTCTGGCCACAAATCCCCGACTTGACATGGATATACACGTGCGCACCCGCATTCACACCTGGTGGAGTTTCATCTACACGGCAGCGGTGCGAATTGGCACGGATACTTTGGAAGTGCAGGGTGGCAAAGACAAGAACCTGTATTGGATTAATGGAAAGGCCGGTGGGCCGATCGAGCATGGAACGACTCTGAGCCAGACAATCTCTGGTTGTCCAATCCACTTCCGTTGGACCAGCGGTGGGCAGCGTCAGTTTCGTCTGGATCTCCATGATGGCGATGCTGTCTTCTTCAAGACTTACGGGGACTTTGTTCGAGTCAACGTTCATGTGGAATCTGATGGCAAGTTTCAAGGTTCACTTGGACTCATGGGAAGCTATCCCGACGGTCAAAAGCTTGCCCGAGACAACAGCACCGTGATTGAAGATGTCAATCAATTTGGGCAAGAGTGGCAAACTCAATTCCATGAACCACAACTCTTTCACCAACATGAACGTCGTAGAAGACGTGGCAGGAGATGCCAAATGCCTCGGACCAACAATGCTGGCTTTCTTCATCGGAAGAGGCGGCTGTTGGAAGGCCAACTGTCAAGAGAAGAAGCAGAAGCAGCATGTGCCCATGTCCAAGAAGCATACCTTGAATCATGCGTCCATGATGTGTTGGCCACAGGCCAAAGAGATTTGGCTGGTTCCTATTGACGCAACCTCACAGATAACCTAGCTGTAGATCGCAGATATACCATGCGTGCTAATCGCTCGGAAACTTAGGATCACTATGATTCCCAGCTTGCAACTGTTGCTTCAAGCAAGTTGTCTGTATTGAACGGAAGACATCATTGTCGCTCTGTTCGGCGCTATAAGCCTGCGCAGGCTGTCTATGTATCGATCCCGTCTGGCTACATACTGGTATCGGTTATGCTAGAGCTCCTACCGGTACCGGTAGCCGGCACCTTGGTGGCGGACCCTTGGAGAGCTCCTACTCCAAACAATGGACAGGAAGAGAAATACTTTCTCAAGAAAGGAGGAAACTTGGGTGGAAATGAACAGATCTTGATTGGTGGTGGGCCTTTTCACTGCTACTTCTAAACCAAGTTGGCAGCCAAACTCAATCTTCACCTGTGCTTTGCATGGCAAGATGAAGTCTAGATGCTCCAAGGTCAGAGCAGTTTGTGCGCACACAGGTGGCTCCAACACCAACATTAGCCACACTGTCTGAACAAACATAGTACCACTTTATGAGGCCTCATGCTGGCAACTGGCATGCCAAAGCAACACCAGGGAAGGCCTTTCAAAGGCAAAGGAGGCCTCATCGTGGTCAGACTAAGATACATGATCAAATAGCCACACATACATACAGGTGGACATGCTACGATGCTAGTATACAGTGTCGCTATCAGCTGAGGCAAGACTTGTCTTTATAATGTTTTGTATTAGAACAACAAGGATCAGTCCATTGTTGGTAAAGAAGCTATGCCATGGCAGACCTCTGCTTGGCACATCCACCGCAGAAGATGGCCCGGCACTTGTTGTTGGCAAAGTAACACTCGGTGCAGGTCCACTTTTTGTATCGCGCGCACATTCCACAAAAGTTGGCGTCAGCTTCGTTGACCTCACCGCACATACAGGACCAAGGAGCCATGGAGTGGACGGAACCAATGGACTCGCAAGATGCTCTCTTGATGGGATAGACACTCGGAGGCGCGACGAGTTCTTCCGCCTCCTCGATAGAGGATGATTCCGATTCATCTTCTTCTTCAGAATCGCTATCCGAGTCGTCGTCCGAATCACTGTAGTGGTCTTCGTCATGTTCAGGACCGTGTGCCTCTTCTTCTTCTTCCTCCGCCAAGAAGAGATCACCGTAGTACGAACGAGTCGTCTCGGTTCGACCCGAAGTGGACTGGAAATCCTTGCTTCCACGACGCGACGGTTTGCACGATGGACGGTCTCGGAATCCTCCAAAGAGGTCCGTGTAAGAGGAATCCAAGCTTTCTCGCTTGCGTTGCATCATTTGCTTCTGCAAGTCGCCTTCTCCAAACGACTTGCGACGGCGTTGTGTCACAGGCTGCTTCTCGGGGTTGCTACCGACATGGGCCGGGACGGAGCAGGCGCTCATGAGGTCACTGGCCGATCGATTGCGACGAATGGTCGACTTGATCGGCTGTGGCTTTCTGTTGTTTGCCTTGGAAAGAAGCATACCACGATCGTCTTCTTCGTTGCGACTTGGCATGCGTTGTGGCCTTGCGGGGGGAGTTGTGAGTTCGGAAACGACCGAGTTGCCACTCGACAGGGTGCGACGAATCTGGGGGGCGGGTTTAGTAGTTTCCTGCTGCATTGCTTCGGAGCCATTGGCCGACAGATTGCGAGTCAAGGAACGTTGACGACTGCGCGATCGTCGCTTTTGCCGTTCGTGGACTCGCTCCACATCCGTCTCCGTGAGGCTTCCCATTCGTTGCGGCATGTTGGGAGGCACGATGAGACTGGCGGAACCGGCCGAGACGACACTGCCCGCGTCCGACGACTCCTTGAGTGCACTGGAGCGACTGTATCGTCCAACAGGCTGCTGCTGCGGCGCCTGTGCGACGACTTCGGGAACCCAGTTATCGGGCTTGCTGGATTGGTGGACGGGAAAGCTGTTGACGGTTCGTCGAAGACCATTGGCCGATCGACTGCGAACGGGTCGTCCTTGGGCATCTCGGTTTTGCCGCGTGCGTTCCCGACGGCGTTTGCCTTGTGCAGTCTTGTAGACGCGACTGTCACTGTCGGCACCACTGCCGTGTCCACCGTCGCTCTCTTCGGCGGATGAACAACACTGCGAGGGCAACATGTGACTGTTGGCGTTCCAACGACAGGCGGTCGTGGGTGTAGTCACGTCCGAGACGAGGCTCTGCTGGAGCGTGCCCGTGGACCCACGACGCTTCGCTGACATCAAAGGCGGGGGAACCGTGTCTTCTGCGGGCACGGTGCGGCTGGTGCGTGTGGTAACGGAAGGATGCATCTGAAGCTGTTCTCGAGTGAGTGGCACTCTGCCACTGATGCTTCGAAGGCTGTTGGCAGATCGAGAGCGGCGCCCCGTTCCAGACCGGTTGTCCCGGCTGAAGCGACTGTTAGGGCCAGGGTTATTCATGTTTGCGAGGGCTTCTTCCTTGATGTTGCCTCGACTGGGAGTCTTTCCCATAGTGAGACTGGTGAGACTTCTTAGGTCATTGGAAGACCGACTGCGGCGAAAGGCACTGGTGGCGCTGGTAGCAATGGTACTAGCATCATCGTCGCGGTCTTGCTTTTGGATCTCAATGACAAGACCAGCAAGGTCGTTGGAGGAGCGAGAACGGGGTCGATGAGTCGCCTTGGGAAGAGGTGCTTGCCAGTACGTGTTGGGAGCAGGAGCTTCATGATGATGGTAAGGATAGCCACACTGAGCCGGAGCTACCGACGCGCGACGGCCGGGTTGTTGCGGAAGATAGTCACTGGGATTGCTCAACAGTCTCGCACTCACAGCGGCCCGAAGATCAACACTCTCCAGAGCTTTCACCACGGCTTCTCGAGTGTCGACGTTGCCGTCACCGCAAATGTTCACGTTGATTACTAGTTGTTGCTCCATTCTTTTAGCTTGATTGATTGTGGGTGAGAAAGTATTTTTATGATCATACAAAGAGGCCTCACTAGCAAGAGATCCTGCAAGCAGCAAGAGTGCCCAGAAGATCCTCCCCTGTGCTGGGCAGTGCTGTTTCCAGCTAGCTAGGAGCTACACCACTGTACCGAACTTGTATGTTTGACCCTGCATCTCCTCCAGCGAGATAAAGGCCGAAAGGCTCCGCTTGGACACTTTTTTCAATCCGGGAGCGATATCAGTGTCCTGACGTGGTGGACTACTCCTACTGATTGTATACAGTAAATCATACGCATGTGGACCCCTTGAAACACCAGAACACACTGGCCAGAAACAATCTTGCATTCTTTAACTGATTCATCAACCACTGACCAACATTTTGGGACTTCACTTAAATCATGCGGCCTCTCATCCACCCAGCCAGAGCAGCACAGCCTGCCCAGATGATACATCCGCCAATCAAGAGCCATCAAATAAATTCAAAGTGAATTATTGCAATCGCCAGTGCTGAAATGAGGGATTCGTATCCAGTTCGTAAAGAACGTGCTTTTTACTACGAGTAATCTGGAGAGCGATGGAGTCATCCTCCATCCCTGGAACGTTGAGTAGAAAAGTCAAGAGTGTCGACTCCTCCACCTTTTACTCCTCTTGCTCCCTTTTATTAGATCTACTCGGAAGTACAGTCGTACTCCATACCGGTACCAGTACTAGTACTCGAGTAGACTTTAGCTGGTGGACTGGTAGCCACTGGCACACAGGCACAACGATGTCTTGATGTCTTTTACTTTTATACTACTACTGAGCTACCGAGTAGCTATTAAATAGTACAGAGTACTGGGGTACTGAAGTCTTCTGTCTTCTTCTACATCATGTACAATGATATTTTACTTCCTACTCTGAGTGGGGAAATTTTAATACACTGGGTACCAGTACAGGTACGTTCATTAAGACTCAATTTTTTCCGAAACAGGTGGGGCTGTCCATTGTCCCTTTGATTGCAGAGCGGGAAATCCATCCATTATCCATCATACGAGTGTACATGTACTGAGCTACCTGCCGAGCTCATCATTCTGCTGGTTACAGTCTGCCAGCTGTTGGCTCCAGGTGCTAAGTACATGTATTGATGTGGAGGCCTAGCTAGCAACGAGGCAGGAGATAGTGGCAAGGCGGCCTCTTTCTTTTAGCCGAACCATTAACGACAACCAAGCAAGTCAGTACTAATAAAAAGCTGCCAACCGGAAGCAAGAAGCAAAGGAGTGACCTGCCTCCTGTTGATGAAGACTGGTTAGTACACGATTTATTATTGGATCAAGACATCAAGACCACCTTCTTTTGTTGGATCTGCATGTGTTCGTTCATGATACAAGAGTAGGTGGCTTCTAGACTACTCCGTAGCACTTCGAACATTCTTGGGTGTTTACCAGCCCTGTACCTCTCATGCTGGCTACTCCGTATAAAATAATATTATGCTGGGCTGCAGTCGCGAACACCAGTGGACAGAACTTCACCACAGAAGACAATTCCCGATTTCCAATGCAGGATACTAGAAGAGAAAGCCAGTTGCCGCTAGGAGCATTCTTACCTATGTCCTTTGTCTTGTTAGGTTCCATTGTTCCATTGGAAATGGAATGATCCAATCGCCTAAAAGAATGCATGTTGCGTGATCCTTGATCTACAGCAGATGCACTGATTACATGTATGTAGTCCAATCGAAGGAAGATGTCCGCGTACTTCCTTCCAAAGGAAAGTGATGCACTTTCCTCCAGCTGCAGCCAGGACCAGGCTGGCAAGTGATGCACTTTCCTCCAGTTGCAGTACCAGACTGGCCCAGCAGATGATCCCTATCAAGCAGTTTGCCATCACCTCGCAGTCAGTATGCTAGCTAGCTACTAGACATCTTTCAGTCTCTTCGTGTCAACAGTTGGGGCAGATGCTGATGGCAACTGCCGACACAGCCAATGATGGACAAAACCAGTTCGATCTATGATATTGCGGCAAACGACCTATAACATCCAAACCGTCCTCTTCAATCTAGTGCGTGCGTCGCAGTCATATCGATCGATAAACCAACGAAAGCCCAAGTGTAAGCTTGGAAATCAATCAAACTTATATGCACTTACTTGCAAGCGATCAAATCGTCTCGGACCATTGCTTTGCTTTTTGCTTGTTACTCAAGCAGAGTTCCTACCAAAATTCCAATCCCCGGCAATCATCCTGACGCTTGACCTTGCCCTACATGGGTAGATGGGTGGTTCAGCGAGGGACGATTCCAGGCGTCCTCAGTGTAGTCCCCACTGGAAGAGGAAGAAGCTACCAGTAGATCTATGATAGTGGGTACGATTACCCCACCGGCAAAAGGTCGAAGTCGTTTTTTGAAGGAGAAATGGGACTGGCCGGCGTTTATTCACACTTTGAAAGCCAACGTGGCTGTCAAATTAACTGAACAAATAATTCTCTTTTGGTTGGACCAGGACGGTCGCTAAAGAGAGGTTGAGTTCCAATCTGTTGTACGGTAGAACATGCAACTGGATCTACGTTGAATCCAGAAGTTGGCTTGAATTATGACTTCGGTTGGACTTGGAAGAGGTCCCAGTGTTAGGTAAGATGTGTTGGTCTTGGTGTTGAAACAGAGACCTTACCGGTACGCTGTCAACTGACTACTAGGCTTGGCATAGGGCCAAGCCTGTGTTCCGACTATTGAAGAGTTGTCAAAGGCACTTTAATAACTCAACGATAAAACATGTTTCGGCAAATTTTCTCGTCACTTTTTCTAGTTTAGTCTCTCCTTGCGGGCACACTCAATTGACAATTAAATTTGTTCATTCTCAAACAGCGAGTTTTGATCATCCGACGACTGCAACAAGCGCTTGTAGTCTTCTCCTTCTGCTAAAATCCCAGCAGTATTCCTTGTCTGGTATGCGTCATTGTTCATGCTGTCGACACTCTTGTTTCGAAGCGACAAATCGGATTGATAATGAATGTTCCCAAAAAAGGCCCCAATGACGGTAGTCACGCCTGTGAAGAAGAGCACCAGTAGCACGAATACCGGTCGAATCACTTCCATGTCCATGATATGAAACTGCAGCTGTACCCCTGACAAAACAATCCAGCATCCTTTCAGAAGAAACATGATCCAAGTTCCCAAGTAAGCGGGCAAGCTTGACGCGTTATAAACAGAATAGAACAGAATGACGGCATGATACAATTCAATGTCTCCCCAAATTTTGTGAGTCAATTTATCCTCGAGAGTGGGTTTCATGTCGGAATGTCCTGCCATCAAAAGGTAGTTCATCAAGCAACACAGGACAAGTGCAATCCTCCAGGAATCCATTGAAAGTCGGCCGGTAGACTCCAACAATGCCACAAGGCAAACACTGGCATAAGACCCATACATAGCAACATGTCCAGGTTGATTCAGCCAGCACAACCAGGAGGCGCTGCCAGCGCCGGTAAAACAGGGACTGGTAATCTGCCGCAGCGTGGCCAAAATGATCAAGACAAACAGCCCGCTCGCAACGCATTGGACGAGTCCATAGTTCCTCTCAGGAATGTAGGCGGAACTAAAGGATTGACCAGGACGCAAGGATCGGGCACGGAATAAGCAGATCATCAACATAGCAAAGCCGCCCAGCATCATGGCCACACCTGGGATAGTGTGAAACAGAATGCCGGCGTAAAAGATCCTCGTGAACCAAGTCTGCTCATGTGCTTCCACTGGCACTTCCAGGAGTGAATCCATTGCTCCACCATCTTCTAGCGTTGAGTTCATCTTTCAAGTGGTACCGATTACTGCTGGTTGTTGTCACTGCGATGGTTTATGGTGCCGAGGTGCCAACGCCTCATTATTCTTGCGCTCACCCCTTTTGATCCTTTGATGATGAGGCGGGTGGAAGTTGCATCCGAAATCGGAAAAAGATCCAATTCTAACCTGTTAAATATTTCGCACGAATTGTTGGTTCGCGAGAGCGACTGGCTTTCCACTTGCACTGCTAGCTAGCACTCACCTGCTCGACAACACTCGACAAGCGCTGCGTACATGCAAACATCCAGCTCTATAGAGAGTAGCCAGACGAAGGGATCTCTGTCCAGATTGAGAGCAAAGGCCCCACATTTGTTGACTCGTTTGCTCGTGGTCGGGTTGGATGGGTAAGAATCGTGACCCAAATTCTCATGACTCATCACGATGTGCCCGACACCTAGATCTTTGTGCACAAGCTGGAGCGATAGATCTAGTTGACTGACCAGGTGCACAAAATCTAGGAATGAATACCCAAGGGGGAGCGAAAGCTGTCATTGAATGTGACGCCTTTTGTTCCACCGACTGGGATTTGAATCATTCAGGATTTTCATGCTTCAACGCTCACGACGTTCTTTGGAAAAGCAACGTAATGGTACTTGCTCTCCCCGAAGCGGACTATGGCTGTAAGAATCGATGGAACGTGTACTCCACATCTTAAAAGTAGAGCCCTTGTCGCAGGACGATCTACCTATGGTTCCGCCTGCCTGGTGGCAAAAATTCGCTTACGTATCAGTCACCTCCCCGCACGGTGGTACGTCCCTTTGAACGAATAATGCTTGCAAGCAAATGCTGGTCTACTGATAACACTCGGAAGATCTTAATAAGAACCTTCCGCAAGATTCCATGCTTTGAGCGTCGGCACCCAGAACTCCTGCATGGAGACTTGCCCTTTCACTCTCACTTTTGCTGCATTAGTTGGATGCAGGATACTAGCTAGCTAACCAGCTTGTATTATAGAGCCAACACCGGGGTGGTTCGCCGATTTAGTGAGCGGTGTAGCCGCGAGTTGAGTCTCAGTGTCCCAGTCGAGTGACGCTCAGTCGAGCGAGCAGTCGCGATCGAGTCGATCTTTGCTTGTTCTTTGGTAACTCCCGCGAGCACTCTAAAAACGCAAGATGCCATCCTCAGCGATCCGTCGGAAGCGGTTTTGTTAGTTGTTGGTGGTGGTCGAGGTGCTCCAATGTGTAGTCCATCACTTGTTTGGACGGTTTCAATCCGACCAAGATATCAAGTCCACGTTTTTCCTTCATGAAACAAACTATCTGTGTGTCTCGGCACGTGAGTGGCTGGCTAGGATGGGAACTGGCAAAGATCGCAAAGATGATTCCTTTACGGAAGCTAAATTTGGTTGTTGTCTTCATCTCACAAATCACAAAAGATCACAACTAAAACACTACAAAAACAAAAAACAAAAACTACTACTCCAATCAACTGATTTTGATTGATTGAAAGATAACATGACGAACTTCAACGCAATGTCCCTCATCCTGGCCATCGGTGTCGGCGTGTCCGGTCTCGCATCGGCCGAAAGTGAGCCATTCTTTTGCCGCCAAGCGACCGACTGTGGTGAATGCATTCAGAACGGATGTAGCTGGGCTGCCGAACAGTGCATCAACTCTTGCGCGGAAATTGCGGATGTAAAGTGCTACAACCTGGAACCATTCCCTCGTATGAGCAGCCGACAACTCTGCGCAATGGCAGAAATGGAAAAACTCGATGACGAACTTTGTTCTTTACAGGAGGGTTGCTTCACATGCACATCTGCCATCAAATCAAACGGCGAGAGCTGCGCATGGTACATTGATGAATCCACCAAGATGGGATATTGTGGATCAGGATTTTGCGATGCGCTGGGCAACTGCCCTGTTGATAGTTGCAGCAGCCTTGGAGGCGGTGCCGGCGAGCTACCAATTCCAGTTCCATTGCCAGTGGACTACAACTGTCAATCAAGAACCTCCTGCTCCTCTTGTATGGCGGGTGAAAGTACTTGTGCGTGGGCAGGAGGACGTTGTTTAGACTCGTGCATGCAAATTGCCGATGCACCGTGCTATACTCACGACACGTTCCAGAATAATCTGAGTGGAGATGAAATATGCCAGGTTGTCGAAGGAGCCAACACAAGTCAAGAGAGGTGCCAGGCTGCCAATAGTTGCCAACAATGCACAAACACAATGAAGACAGCAAACGGAGTGGAAACTTGCTCTTGGTACACAGATGGCGCAATTGGATGGTGTGGAAAGGGTGGATGCGATATGAACGGCATTTGTGGATCTTCCACCTGCTCGGCGGTTCAAGGCCAGACAACAAAGCACCACGGTAGCGTCAGGGGCTCCAACTAGAAGCAAAAAAGGAGGAATGTTGTTCAGCTGTCCTTGCAGTCATCTTCTTCGGTATAAATTAAGTCCGTACCTTTCTGAAGGTAGTTGCAAAATAAGCAATCATCATCCTGTACCGGTACGGCTTGTTGTCTCTGCACAATTTCAACCAGCAATCGAGGACCTAAATGTGACTGGCTGGCGTTGGGGTACAAGTATACACCACTCAAAACACCGTTGATAATTGCTGTTGTCTCGCTCAGCAAAAATGGCCACAAGCCACGCACAAGCAAACACGTCCAATTATACATGTAAGCATGATGTAATCAATGATGATACATGTAGTCAACATTTCCAAAGGATATGCGGGATACATCGGCCAAGGATGCTCTGCAAGGATGCAAGACTCCTACATGTACTTGCTACTCTAGTAGCTAGCTAGAGTAAGCACCTTTTACATTAGCACAAGTTCGTACGTCTATTTTGATCTCTTGGTGCGTTAATTAAGCTAATCGAGCTCTCACCTCCGTTGTTGTCAAACCCACCGGTACCAGGTACAGTACCGAGCTTGAGGTTCGGCTTGGGCAGGAGGTGCGCAGAAGCAGAAGATCTTCTCACCCTTTCTTCCCTTCTTCTGACGGACGAACGAGATGTCGGAACCATTCGACAGTCGCACCGTCCATCTGCCAGGATTTATCAATCCCATGCCAGATGGAAGTTCCAAGGACTGGTCACTATAAGGAAAGGTTGTACTAAATGAACGTACCTTCTTTGCCACGGAAAAGAAGTGCGTATTATTTTTTAATACTCGTACTCCGGACTACTCCAGTGCTTGTGTGCAAGTGCGTGTAGTGTTTCAAAGTTGGGGTAATCTTTCAAGCATACTACTTGCAACAATACCTAGCCTATCATCCATTGTGAGAAAGAGTACTTTCGACAATTCTAGCGTCCACCAAACAGTATATATCGTCGACACAAAGCATCTGAATGTAATCTTAGGTTGTGTTCTCTGCAACGTCCAAAAATAGCCAGGTTCGGCCAAATATCGCTTGCCGATTAGGCGTTCGGCGATTTGTCCAGCTGCCTTCGCAACCAAAAGCATCATTGAAGTGTGGCTGAATTTGAGTCCGCTAAAAATTGTTATTCTGTGATCCTTTCTATTGTTTGCAACAAACAAAAGGTTCAGCTAATAGTGACTATCCACGTCAAGATATCCAATCAGTTATGAAAAGGATTTAAAGGTAACTAGGAAGAATCATCTGAATTGCCCTAGAAGAACTTAAGTAACGTCGCTTTTAGAACCAACGGGTTGTTCTCATCCCCTAAATCTTGGGTCATATTTTTGGCGAAGTTCTGTGGACACCGAAAAGACAGCAAACCATCTGCGCGTACGCACCGATTACTGCGTCCAGGAAGCAAACTATTTTGTTGGAACATTTGAGTGACGCTCTTTTTCCCTTCAAGAGCATTTGTTAAAAGCCGGTATGGTAGCGCTACTGAGATCATTAACTCCACTCTCTTACACAATTAACTCCGCCTCGTGTCTTTGTGACATTAGAGTTTTGGTTGTGTCCGGACGCAAAGTGATGGGTGTTGATGACAGTCTCATCCAAATCCATCACCCAAATGGAATGCAAATTGGTATCCTTCTTCAGTACAAGCTGCCGAAGCAAGAAGTTGAGAGGCGAATGCCAATGCAAAAAAACGCAACACAAAGCAACCAATTCTCTCCACTGGACTGGATCCGGAGTACAACGCCACAACCGCTTTGATCTTGCCTTTTTGCTTTGGTGTTGAAGGGCTCAGATACTCAGATACTCCCATTACTACCTGTAGCTAGCCATCAGTAGGTGAGACAGCGACACAGTCAAAGACTTCTTGCTTCTACAGTTTGTCATAGTGAAACCTCTTAGTAATAAGTCATTAGATCATAGTCTGGAGAATTGATCGCCGTTGAGACAGTACAATATCAGTCAGGCTCGCTTACTCCTTGTTGTTTCTCTTGATCACACCAGGTTGAAGCGGCAGCAGCAGCAGATCAGATGTCCTCCACAAAAATCTCCTTCAACGAAGAAGAGCCGCAAGTCCGGACAATGAGCCCCCAGCGGTACGATACTTCTTCTTGCATTGATAGCGACGACGACATGAGTGCGGCAGGTGGTTACGCGGCTACAGACAACTCCAAGGAGATGATCTCGTTGGAAAACTTTAAAGGCATCTTGCACAAACACGCCATGGACTCGTCGTGTCATGATCAGCTTGGCTCGAACACCAATCATACCGGTACGACCAGCAAACGCATCAGTTCCAAGATTCTGAGTTTGGTCGGCAACCCATCGACGTTCAAACGAACTGCGGGAGAACGTCGCGAAAAACGCAAGCAAATGACGTACGAACCGACGCATCGATGGTGGGAACCTCCCATTTGGGCGTGGTTGCCGCAGTGCAATCGCGAGATTCTCGTGATTTTGTTCGTGTACAATGTCTTTGTCACCACCATGGCCCGGTACTCCAAGATGTGCGGTGATCCGGAGCATCACGATCCGGGACACATTTTCTGCAGTGACGAATGGATTCTCATGGAAGACAAGGCACTCGTTGGATTTGCTGTCGGCATGTTTTTACTACTCGCCTTTCGCGCCAATCAAGCATACGATCGATGGTGGGAAGGACGCAAAGTCTGGGGACGCACTCGGGAAGTCTGTCGCGATTTTTCCCGTCTCGTTTGCAATCACGTCGATTGTCATACGGCTTCCGATAAAGCCGATCGACGACGCGCCATTAATTTCTTGACGGCATTCGCATGTGCCCTCAAACTTCATTTGCGCGACGAACGACACATTGTGCTCGATTTGACACTCCAAGGAACAACCGTCGGGGATCGACTCAAAGGATTGAGTCTCCAAGATATTGCCAACATTCAACAAGCCGATCACATGCCCAACTTTTGTATGGACATTATCAGTGACTATCTGGCCAAACAAACCAAGGCGGGCAAATTGTCCGATTACCAATTGGGCACGCTCAATGAAACTGTCATGGCCGTTCTCTCGGACAAGTTGGGATCGTGCGAACGCATCCGCAACACACCCATTCCCTTGTCGTATGTCCTCCAACTACGATTCTTTCTCATTCTATGGTTGGCACTCTATCCACTCCACGTCGTTGCCTTTTACGGATGGTACACCATCTTGTTGGCATCGCTTGTCTCGTATGCTGTTCTTGGCATTGAATCCATGGCCTCGGAAATTGAAAATCCGTTTGGATATGATCGCAACGATTTGGATCTCGACAAGTTTTGTCAAGGCATTTGCAAGGACACACAAGATATCCTCGATCGACACGAATCTCAAGATCGACATTTGCTCTTTGATCGAAAACACATCGATTTGCTCAATAAGAGTCAGCAATTCCATGCTCCTACTGCCGCCGAAGCGGCCTACATGCAAGGAGAAACCAACAATCGTGGAGGCGTCCAAGTCTTTGATGCCGATGCCCCAGGAGACGATAGTCTTCCCAGTTCTACATCCACTACCAATTCCAAGTAAAAGTTACATGTACTTCCTACCTCCACGTAAACAAAACGATCGAACAAGACAAGACAATGCAAACCTTCACAGATGATGGATACTTAGTTATTATTATTACTATAAGGCTAACTGTAAATAGAGAAGAAAACATCCGAGAGAAAATCACGGGCGTTGTAGAAACTAGTTTGGACGCACCGCACAGTGGAATGCCAGCTACCGTACGGTAGCGCGAAGCTACGAAAGGAGAGACAGGCTGGCAACGATCGAGTTGCTACCTGGTAGCTAGCCAGATATCAAGAACAACATCATTCCAACAGTAAATTTGGCTACTCGTAGCCAGAATATCGATTCGATTCCCCGAAGCTTAGTAAAGTGTGTCATGGGGGAAATAGTAGGTACCTGGTGCCGGTATGACGAGGATGTCGTGGGTGCCAAAGTGGCATGTGCCAGGAGCCGCAAGCGAATCTTCATCATCGCCCGTGTGCTCAGAATTCGCTCGGACAGTAAACAGGTGCACTGTCTCTCTTTACAGACTGGCCAAGGTTGCTTTCATGGGTTATGTAGCTACCTATAAAATTAGCCCACAGCCATGGTGGCACGGTATCTTTCTCGATAGATGGAGGACTGCCTTCCTTCTATATCTAGCAAGCTAGCGTAGCAATGGGCTCCCATTGAGGACCATTGCTTCTTGCCAAACCGCCCACAAAGCTGGCGAGCTGCCTGTCAAGCAGAAACTAAAAGATACTATGGTTCGTAGCTTCTACTTTGACACAGACTTGTCAGCCAGTTCGTTGACAAGCTGAAATTGCACTTGTTGCCGTGGTTCTCGAGCATCGCTCCGTACGGTACACGATCCAGTTCCGCTGGGCTCGTGGCCTTCATTACGCGGCAGCTTCCTGGCGCCACAAAAATAGCAAAGCCCCTTTCCAAACAAGAGGTTGCTTGCTTAGCGCAGGCAAGGCACTAATTTCTTCTACTGGTCTCTAGCTAGAGTAGAGAGGAACTAGGTTTAGCTCATTGAGGGTAAACTGACCTGCTGTCTGGAACAATTTGCTTTCTTGAATTGATGTGCTCTCGGCTTTGTTGGAATGGCCAATAGCTATGCCTTGCTTGCATGCATGAACTCTAAGCTTCTAGCCTTGTTGGTCCAGCCAGCAAGAAACTTTGAGGAGCCAAATCATGCAACCTGCAGACAGCAAGCCAGCTAGCCAGAGACCGGCTGGCAAGCTTCCTTGTGTCCCGCCTTCCAATCTTCCTTTTGACAACCTCGACCGCAATAAAACACAGCCTTGCATCGGGTACAGCTCTTCAAGGGACAGGAAAACGCCGTTTGACAGACAGTGCAACCTTCTTTTTGACTGCGCAATGGGAGATATTTCTTGCCCGTGGTCGGGCTGGTTTCTCCATAGCACTCGTACTGTTTGGCAATGGCATGCCACCACATGCTCAAGATTTCGCGTTCCAGCATGCGGCAGAGAAGGGCTGTCTTGATATTAGTTCCAGAAGCAATCGCCAAGTCATCCGTTACTGTTGGCATTTGTTCCAGTCGATAATCAATCATATCTAGAATAATCGACCCTGGTTCCCATGGTTCCACTACGACCTCTGCTCCGTCATCATTTGATAATGAAAACATGGCATAGAGATGCAAATTGTTCAAATAGACGGGCCGCCACGATTCCGATCCCCGTACTTTGGCCATGTCGGTAGTGGATCTCATGAACGCAAACGGAGTCCCATCTTCGGGAGGAAATTCCGTCAAATGACGCCATTCCAGGACCTTGTTCTTGTCACTCGTGAGGGATTTCCAACGTCGTTCATCCCCCTTTTCCCACACCAATTTGGGTGGTGGCACAACATGCACGACATCCAATTCATCCATGAGGGGTTTTCCCGTGGATGTCAGTGGTACGAATCCAAATTTGGTGACAAAGACTTGGTTGGAAATTTGTCCGTATGAAAAGAGTACTTCGTCTCCTTTTGCAATATCTCGTGTGGCTTGCACGGCCACGTGAATACCAGGATACTGCAGTACATGAGCATTGCAGCGAGGACTGTATTCCTTGTCTCCATTGATCATATCCACCAAGGGACAAAGAGTCCGTGTATTGGTTTCTGCCGTAACAGTAGAACTTGCAAAGTTGGCGGAATCCAAGGAATGCATGCGGGAATAAATGGAGCAAATAGCATGCAAGTAAGATTCTTTTAACAGCGTCGAATCCACCTTGTCCTGTTTTTGTTGGAGATATTCCAACAATACCGATGCAAAGGATTGTTCCCAATTGTCCTCCACTTCTCGTCGCAACCGCAGAGACACGGCATGACAGGCGGTTCCTTTGAGTATTTCCATTTCCTCATCGGTCCAATGAAAAATCAACGACTCATAGGATGGTGGCAAGGCTTCCAGATAACTCTTAAAATGAGTTGCTGCATCTCCCAGTGTCCCTCCAATGGAAGCTTTGACTCGATGCACATACACCAACAAGGTCAATTGCAATGCCAATCTCAGTTCGTCTTGACAAAAGACGCGTCCTTGGGTCTGATCTTTTTCAAATGAATTCCAGGGATTTCGAGTGTTGCTCGTCTGTTTCCATTGTGCTGTCAAATTGTCTCGATACACCTTCATGGCGGGATCGATACAGACACTCGCCAAATCCTTCAACAGAGGATGACTTTCACTCAATACACAGGCTTCGGGGATGGTCACCAATGTGTCACCCTTGCGAATCGAGTCCTTGGCAAACACTCCTACCATTGGCGTGGCATTCTTATCCGTACCGGTCGAAGCATCAGTAGTAGTGATAAATTGAATCCGGTCCAGTTTCAAGACGTGAGGATGATCCTGGGAACTCCCGTCATCTTCCATGCGTCGTCTCCCATATGTCTCCACCCAGTCGATGCATCGTTCGATGGCTCGCTGACGTTCTTCCAGGGAAGAAGTGCCACTGCTACTTGCTGTCATCTTGCTTTGGAAGGAACCAATACTTGCTACAGTAGTAGAGCTTTGAAATGAAGTGGAGTTACTATGCGTTAGAGTGGACTATGAGCTGGGAATCGGTTATCGGTCCTTCACAGCTTTTTGTGTGAGCGAAACTTGGTGAAGCCTGGCCCCCGACCGGCTTCCGAGACACTGGATCCAGCTCCATTCCAAAAACCTATAGCCCTTCCGACATACGGTATCATAGCCTGTGCTGTCTCGGCCTACTACAGCCACCGGTATAGTACAAGCACCAAGAACTCGAGTGAGACAACTTGGTTGGTGAATTCCCACTAGCTAGACTATCGATAGAGCCACGTTTCACCAAGTCCAGAAATTCATCTCATCTTGCTTTTGAAATAAGGCTATCATTCATTTGCTTGCCAAGAAACCTTTGCTGCTGCTGACTCTTCATGGTGCGTCAGCTAGCTACAAAGCATCAAGAACTTGAGTGAGACAACTTGGTGCATTCCCACTGCCAGTTACTTGCTAGTTTAATTCATCACGACAACAGTTGACTCGACTCGTTCCAAGCATCCAAAACTTCTAGGCCGTCCGTGTAGCAAGAACTGCAGTACGAGGCATATACGTGCTCTCCCACCTCCCACCTTCTCGTTCCTGGCAACAAGGTACGGTAGCCACAAACTGTTCACTTCCAGCCCGCACGTGGTACTATTGGTCCAAAACGAGGTCGAATGAACGTTTGCTGCGCCTACGTGGTGCCGATCCGACACCAGTATAATATTGTCTCATCAGTTGCAGAAGAAGTATACACCGGTAGGACTTGCCTTCGCACACACCTGGCGCTAAGTTGAAAAGAATTCATTTGAGTCATTTCACGAACTCTTTCCTCGTTTCAGCAAATAAAGCTTTCTCGTCTCCTGAGCTAGTACTCGAGTAGCTAAGTACGGTAGCCAGTCAGCTAGCGAGTCCCCTTGTAGTCGGACCAGACCTTGTCTCCTGCGGTGGGTGCTGCTAGAATATCTTGCTCCTGATCCATGCATAACTTCAACTTTTGGATTGGTTCTTCACACTTCGATTGATCGCCCTTTTTCCATTTCATGCACTTTTGAACTTCTTGATTGAGGAGTTTGCATTTTTTGTTCGGCAAAAACCGACGGCCATCAAATTGATGCACCAGCTTCTTCTCCTTCCGCCAATTTTCTCGACATGTTTCCAAAGCTTTGGCTTGCTTGAGACAGGATCGCCCGCATCCGCTGCCTCCTGTGTCTTTCAGGCATTGGCGGTACTTCTTCGTCTCTAATTGACAGGATGTCATGGCTGCTCCTTGTGGTTGTTGTTGTGGTCGCGTCGTTGTCTTCAGTGTTTGTGAGCCGCTGTCGTGGTGGCATTGCTGAACAATTGATGACGTCATTGCTTTCCTTAGCGATAGGGATATTATTCTTTCCCTTTGTCGTGAGCGGTTGGCAACCAGTCCTGAAAATCGTTAAAGCTTTCGGTCGTGGCTGGGGCACTCTTAAATCCATCTGGTTCCGTCACGAAACGACGAAGGTCAGCTCCGCAGCTCGATCCAAGCCGCAGCTCCATGCATCTCCATCCGCAGCAAACCCCGTCAATTGTACGGTAGGTAAAGAGCATGCTGTCAAGACAACATCAAACACCAAGACCACGCTGAGAGGCATGGAAGTGTCTTGTTGGGTGTTGTTTGGTAGTATGGAGCATGAAATCAGTGCTCATCAGTGGCTCAGTCTCGTCTCATCACATGTCGTTTTTCATCTGGCAGAATCTGTCATCTGAAAATTGGGGTGGAAAAATGGGATGTCACTATGATGAGCTCACTTTTTTGTTCAACCGGATTGCTAGAGTTGCATACCCAACCGAACAAGGAAGACTTTCGCGATTGTTGATAAGCCTAGGCCAGATCAACCCCCCTACTTTCATTTACCTTTTCTACCAATCTTCTATTCAATACCTATCAATTGCAAAATGAAGTTCTCTTCTTCTATCATCAAGCTGCTCTCGTGGTCATGGACCACCTACAACAACAACAGCAGCACCAAGAAGACCCCTGTTCTCCAGGTCGCCAAGGAGATGACGGGCCACAACAACAAGGATGTTCCTGTGTCAGAGGAAGTCCCAATCAAGTTCCAACTGGATGAGTTGGACAAAGATGTCGTCCAAACCGCAGCACTGTTGCACACGTGTGGAACGCATCCTGATGTGGAATTCCAGCAGCACGGTCGCTGCCTAGGTGCCTACGACCTTTCCCTGGTTCCTTCGGATCAGCATGGTCACTACGGATACGACAAATACAACCAGCACCGGCCCAAGGGCTGTCGCATCCAAACCAGTCGTTCAGCCAACGCTTGCTGGAAGACCCATTACGGTCAAGACACCGAACGGAGCAATGGAAACCGTTTATCCTTTGCTCCCGTCAACACTGTAGTGGGGTACTCTTCTGACGAGAGCGAACAAGAAGAAAAACGTGATGTCTATCGAGACATTAAGAAACAAGAGCCACAGGCCCGATACGAATTCTGGCAAGAAGCCCAACAACAATTCATTTCCGTCGGCACACCCACACCCCACGAACGCGTCTTGGATCTCGTGCAGTTGATTCAAGAGTACGGATACCAACAAGTGGCCAAATGGATCACCAACAACAAATGGTTCCAAAGCGACAAAGCGTACCTACAAAGAGCCAAACTGTACATTCAAATTGATGCCGTTCATCAAGACCTCGAGGCACTTGTTCGTTTCATCCAGGCGAAGAAAGGAAATGACAAGCAAGTCGCTCACTGGTTCATGGTCAACAAAAAGAACACTTACATGTTCGAACTCGCCATGTGCCACTTGCACCACGGAGGAATTCAGCGCAACGCTGACGACGAAATTTGCACTTTGAATACGCGAGAACAGATTGCCAAACGACGATTTGTCTATCGCAAGGTCAAGGACGTCTGCATGGAAGATGCAGCACCCAGAGTAGTAGAACAACAACCAACAACAACTAAAGACGCCGAGACGATAGAAACAGTCTTGACCGTCGACGACGACAAGATGGCATCCGATGCCACAATCACATGCGAGGCAGCGGTGGTTCCCACATGCACAGCAGTGGTCCCATACGTTCAAAAGTGGCATGTGGCACACTTCAAGATCAGTGTGCATGGACAACAACCTTTTGTATTGGAGATGCGAATGATGAATGGTGTGCTACTTGGAGTGGTACCCAACGGCATTCTCGCAGCCTTGATGAAGGATGGTGGAGACCTTGTCAAGGAAATGATGCGGCGGCACAAGACACTACGATTGGAAGCCTCAGACAATACGGATTACGAATTCGTGACTGGCGACGAATTGGCAGCTGAGGAACCACTGGTCGAGGTCGAAGAACAACAACAAGTTGATGCTGATGAACCACTGGTGGACAACCGAGTCGACGAGGAGGACAATGTGGACACAGCACAATCAACTTTGCGACGATCAAAGAGACGCATGGCGGCGATTGCATCTCAGAGAATCGCAGAACAAATGAAGACGAAGCCACGGCGGGTGGCAGTTGAACAACCTAGAATTAAACGTAGACGGATGGCGGCCACCAAGAAAAAGTCGACAAAGCCAAAGGCGAGACGCAAGAAGAAGACGACGACACAACCTGTGACGGACACACAGCAGCAAACAACAGTTCAGACAACAACAACTCTTTCTGGACGGCAAGTCAGAAAGCCTGACCGGTACATTCCAGTCTAGGACAACAGGTGAGTAAGTGGGCGACGACGACAGATTGCGGGGACTAACACATTATACAATACACAAAGAGCAAGCATCTGGTGGGGTGCAGGGCTATACAACATTTTTTGCGGAGATGAATACAGTTGGTTCAATTGAAGGGTCACATCGAAGGTAGCCAGGTTTGTGGTTCCTGTGCTAGGCAGCCTCTATTGCAGAGTGCTTGTCCGAACGTCCTCCACGCGACGAAAGTCCAAAGTTAATACCGGTGACACCCGACAACCAACCTCTATCATTGTTGATGCTATGCTACAATCTTAAATACAACCAAACATAAACATAGAACAATAACACATAGTAGAGAACGAAAATCAGGTCTTCCTTCAGTATAGTAGTTGTAGTTGTAGCTCTAGAGTTCATAATCATAATCCCATCCATTGTAGGGCTTGCCTGGATCTTTGTATCCTAAGCTGTCCTGGTCGTGTCCTAGCTAGCCACTACCAACCTTTCGGCTCGCTCCCAGGTCCCTGCAGCTCCTCTCACATTCCCCGATCTTGGATCACAGCATAGTCTACTTTTACCGTACCGGTACCAGGTAGTTCCTGGTACTGGTACCGCTATTAACACCAGCAATGAGCAAAAGGGCGTAAAACTTTTAAAACGCGACTTTCACGGGTTTGGGGACTACTAGCTAGCTAGTGTGATACGAGGAGGACTACGAATCCCTAAAGAATCAATGTACGGTATCTTTTAATAGGATTTAGGAGCCGTCAAAAACCATGACTGCAATAGCTCTTCAAGACTCCTTGTAGTATTCCTCATCATTCCTCATCCTCTGTTTAGAAACCCAGCGAACAGCGAATAGAGAAGAGTTCCTGGCACAAAAACGCCCACAAACCACGAACCCACAATTATTGTTGAAGATTGCTACTTCCATCGTCCACAAAAAGGAGTGACGAAGGAGTATTGAGCAACCATGGCCGACAACCAAGCCGCACAAGCGCAAGCTGTAAGAGCCAACAATGCAGAAGTGGCGAATCAAGGAAGAGCAGCACGAGATCCGGAAGGACTTGCACCCAGGGAGGACGCAAATCCAGTCGAGACGGTGTTTCCCCCAGGCCCCCATGATGCCAACCGAATGATGCTGTCAGACCAAGAACGCCAATGGTCCATTGCCATCAAGGAGGCCATTCAAGAAGATCCTGAGCTAGCTCCAATATCGGACTTCAATTGTGCGCAACTCGGTCTTATCGAAAAAGACAATATCGAGGGAGCCCTAGAACGCGCTCGTCAAATGCAAGCTTTTCGAGAGGAATACAGAATTGCTGATGACGAGGAAAGTGGGGTCAAGGCTGTGGCAGACTGGATGGAGCTGTTCCCTGGAATGGTTCTTTCTGTCAGCTACAGTAGACTTGAGGGCGTGTACGTCCTAGTCTTGGACGATACCAAATTCTACGCCAGGAATCTGGACGACAATCCCAAGGGTGTTCCCATTTGGTTTTGTGGGAACTACTATGTGTATCAGGCGATTCTGCCTGATTTTCAATCCATTCGGAAGGGACTCATCTTTTGTGTGGAGGCAGGTGGCTTTGACTGGAAAGTAAACTTTGGATTGACAGTCTTCCGGCGATTTTGGACAGAACTGGCTGCGTACTACCCCTACCACTTCAAAGAAATCAAGGTTTTCCATGGTGGCATGTTTGTTAACATGATGGTTTCAATGGTCCGGCAGGTTGTACCCAAACGCATTCACGAAAAGTTTCAATTGGGTACTGTCAGTGGTTTGGGGAGACTTGACCAGCTCTACTTGGTTCCCAATCTGGAAGCTGCCAACCAAAGAACGTTACGGCGTGTCCAAGAATGCCTCCACATGAGGTACGAAAACGAAGCCTCTTTTCAGCTTTGAGAGGTCTTGCAAAATGCTTGTTGGCAGTTGGCATGGATCTACTCGTCCCAGAGCCTGGTCCAGCAGATTTTTACCCTACGACTACGACTTGTGTCGTCTGGGGCGGGCACGGCTTTCTTTGAGCTACATGTACGACAACTGCGACCGTATTGTCAGCAAGACAGCGATTGTTATTCTGATTATGTTCTAGTCTGCGTGTGCGAGCCGTGGCTTGCGATGATGGTTTGCGTTACTCCAGCCAGAGGGATGACAACTGCAATCCGATTGGTTCCTGTCCAGTATGCTCTCCACCCACGCACCAGTGCGATGATGGCCTGACCGTAATAGCAAAGGATATCACCAACGGTTGTACTGTCGTTGGTACCTTCCCTCCCCGTCCTGTAGAACACGAGGAGCGTGTCTTTGATATTGTTCTCTTTGAGGACTAACGCCAAAAGGTTGGCCCGTGACGGAGTGACCAACTTGCAAGATGAAAAGACTGCCAGGGCCAAGAATGCCAAGTTCTTGGTGGCCCGAGTCATTCCCGTGCTGTCAGGGCCCCGCAGTTCCACGCTTCCCTAATCCGGTCCAGAAAGAATGAATGATCTGGTCGTTTGGAAGAATGTATCACGGAATCGGTTGCGGAAACTGCCTGTGCTCGTTTGAAACGAGACGCTCAAATGTTGCCCGTTGTGTTTACGATGTGACGGGTACCAACGAATCTTGATCAAGCCTACGGGTACTGAAAACTATTGAGTGCGTACGAGGAGCGGCACCATAGAAGACGGCGTAATAAGGAAAGAGCATTTGTAGCCACTGAATCGTCCATGAGTTCAAACTATAGCTTGGCGTGCTCAGTGGTTGCTTCTTGACCGTCGTCTTTCCAATTTCAGAGGATTACTGCGGGTAATTCCAAATATATGTCCAACTTGATGGGCGAAAGCTAATACGTACATTGCCCTGCTAGCTAGCACCCAGTGCCCGCGGTCTGTTTCAAGGAGCAGTTTCTTATTCGGGAGCCCCATTTGCCACTGATGCAACTACTTGGACCGACACTTCATTCAATCGTTTCCACGGCACCGTAAAGGGATCATTGTACTGGGCCAATGCCATCATGTCATTCTTATTGTTGCCTTCTTCCACAATCTTCCACTGGCTTTGTTTGGAAGCTGTCAATGCCTTTTTCAGTTGTTCATTTTTCGCCGCCACTACTTTTTGACTGGCGTAGCCACCAAACATCAACACGGCCCGTGTTTCCGATTCCATTTGTTGCAAAGTGACGCCACTTCCCGGTATGGGTTGAGGTGCTTCTTGGACATTTTGCCAATAATTGGAGGGCAGTACAAATTCCATTTGTTTATCCTCCTTTGTGGCTGTCGTGGTCGTTGTTGTTGCTGTTGGCGTAGTAAAGACGGGTGTGGTCATTTTCATGGCGGTGGATTGTTGGTTCTTTCCAAAGAGGTACCCGGCCAATGCTCCAAAGGAACTGGCACCGCCCAATTCGGGCATGGATACTTTGGCATCGGTGGCATTGTTGGCGGGACGGTTGGCATTCATGGATACAGCACAGACCGAATAAGGCTGATACGTTCGAATCTGAACCTGTCCCATTAGTGTGTCAATCACGTCGTAGTCGGGAGTTTCCAATCCTTCCGGAATCCGACTGCGCAATTCTTCGCTCGAGGGTGTTTTTAAATCTGAAAGGGCCTTGCGCTCGAGCGTCACAATGGCAGGGACCTTGGAACTGCTGTCTTCTAGGTCAGATAAGGATCGTAACAATGCTACCAAAGCTCGTCGACGTCTCTGTTGGCGTCGTTCCTCCGTGTCATTTTCCGTGAAGGTGGTGGATTCACTCTCACTAACGGGCGGAGTGGTGATATCCAGAGTCCGTCGCAAGGAGGCATATCGAGCCCGTTGGGAGAATCTAGCCAGACGCTTGGAGCGACGCCAAAAGGGAAGCCGCGCATCGGGGCCGTTTTCCAGTAGATTGGTCAGGAATGGAGCAACCTTGTCCGTGTTGGATCCTTGTTGTCGTAGTTCATTGATCTGGACCAACAGAATGGATGCCGCAGCAGAACTACCCTGGGCACCAATGGCAATTTTCAACAGCCGTAATGACTCGTCATCAGTTGTGTCCTCAATTGTAGTCGTCTCTGTGGCAAAGAGGCAGACATTGCTCTTGCTGCGACCATGGGTAGATACCACTAGTAGTGGGGTCTGGGCAAGCCGTTGCTGTGGAATGGATGGAAAGAGAAACCCTGAAGCAAAAGACACATGGAACCAAGGGCTCGCCAACAGAGCCAACGCCACTTGGAGGACTCTGAGACGAAGTACCGGCACTGCCATGGTCAAGTTTGATGACGAGGAGTATCTATTGGCAAAACAAGTGGGGGTCTCCAGAGCTGCTGTTCGATCCAAGCCCTCAAAGATCCCATCGAAAGTGACTCAGCTCTCTAAGAAAAATGAGGCAAAGATCGGAGCTGACGTCATTCCAATGAGTCACAGCCAACGCTGTCAAGCACCTCGATCGCGAGAGCTATGGCACTTTCCGCTTTCCAGGCATTGTGCTTTAGCTGTCTACCTGTATCTCGGGCACACGTTTCGTCCATACAGGTAGACTGTGAGATCTTCACACGATAAGTTCTTGAATCGATATCTTGTGGGCTACTCGACGGCTACTTTCAGTGACCTACAACATCAGCTCATGTGGACTGGCCTGTGACTGTGCCTATGGTGCTAGAGCTAGAAGGCACACCAAGTTGGGCTTTGAAGCAGCATTACTAGTGTTATTGCTCTAAAGCTCACTTGGAGTGGATCAATTTGCATAGGCTTTTGATCCATAGAACCTTCATTTGTGTAGTCAGCCCATTTGAGATGTTATGGGCTGATGAAGTGGATGGTCCATGTGTGTGATGTTGTATGAGGTTGATGAACGTAGTGGGCGGTTCGTGCCATGAAAGGCCCGGCTACGTTCGAGTCACCGATGTAGGATGGGTGTTGAAGAGTGTTTTGGTTATTAGTTTGGAGATGTGAAATAAGAGACAATCTATTAGTTAAGACTAGTCGCAATGGTGTGTTGTTAGATGTGGGTGAAGTGATGTGTGGGTCATGTTTGTGAATGGAATATGTCGCTGCATGCGTGTTGCCAAGCCGTTGGTTAGGGCTCCAATTTGTTCGTGAATGTACTGAAGGAAAGTTCTGGAGGTCCATCGGCCTTGTTTCATGATGGTGATTTCATCTGCACCATTGAGTTTCATTGCCATGGCCCCTCCAGCCCGTAGAGAATGGCTGCTGACATTGTCTGGGGTAAACCCGTATTGTGTGAGATTAAGTTGGGTGACTGCTGATTTGATGGTGTTGTTAATGTCGCGGGGTCGGATTTGCTTGGGCGATCGATCTGGCATGTCAAAGTAGGTACTAATGGCTGTGTTCATATTGTTGGTGTGTTTCATAATGTGTGCAACCCGTCGTGCTAGAGCTTTGACAGGGCTTGTAGTCGTGTGGGTGCATTGGTGATGGATGCATTGACCCTTTCGTCCATTTTTCTGGTTGGTGATCCTGAGGGTTGCATATTCAGCTGTAAGAAGGATGTGTAGGGGGGCAGTGTTGGGTATAAGAGATTGGTCTGCTCGGCGTAAAATGATGTCTTTAACCCGAAAACGCTGGGTTCGACGTTGTTGCTTGGGAGGAGTGTAGGTGTATTCGCCACTGCGAAGAAGGTAGTAAGCGGCAATGCAGATTAGGTCTCCCTTAGCCCGATCTTTGGGAATGGGGCTGTGGAGGCCAGCAAGAACAATGTGATGAGGGACTGACATTGGGACTGCCAGTTTGGGTTGTGGTGGAGGATCTGCACGGCGGTAGGATTCTACTTGTTGGTGTAGAGCTGGCCAGTAGATTGCTCTTCCCTGGTCGAGGTAGGTGGGAGAGGGTCGCTGAGCCATGTGGAAGGACGTGGCAATGGCTGCCAGCGCTTGTTGAACTCTTTGAGCGCCGACGCAATTTTTGCGTCCTGTATTTCCACTTCGTACCCAATCGGCAAATGCTTGCACGACTGCGAGTTGCTGGGGTTGGGGCAGGAAGGTAAGGAATGGGTCTTCACAAAGATCGATCGATCCAAGAAAAGAACAAAAGTGAGGAATCGGGGCTGCAGAGGTGCATGCGCCCTTTTCGCGCGAAGCTTCACTACGTGCTTTCCACCAGTTGAAAGACGCAAACAAATATACCAAAGAGAGATGATCTAAAAACCAACTTAGACTTTACTAAAAGCTAATTGTTGCCCTCACATCATGCAGATGGTTCACATCAAGGATACACAAAAGAAAGAAATGCATTGAATCCCTCTTGCAACTTATCCACAAGAAGAGATGTCGACGTTGGCTCCATCATTGATGGTGCATTAGTAGAACTTGCCCCGGCAGATGGTGTCATTGTTGAAGTTGGAGGCGGTGCAGGCATTGGTGGTGCAGGTGTACCGGTAGGCACTGGAGTTCCCGCTGTGAAATCATTCAAAGAGCCCGGTGTTGCTGTGGTGGTGGTGGTTGGGAGAGACGATGTACAAGTGAGAACCCCATTACTGATCGGGCTGTACTGCCCAGTAGTTTCCACCAACAAGTAGAGATCCAAGGCAGTCGAAGTTGTAAACGAAATACTGTGTGGACAGTAGCCAGAGTCCCGTCCTTGATCGGTGGTAAAGCTTCCCGTTGACTCATTGTTGAATCGGTACCATGTTGCTCTGTCGGTACCCTGAGCAAACTCTGTTTCCTTGCATGTCAGTCTGCAGACAACAACAGCATTGGCAGGAATGCCCGCAAGAAGAAATTGCCTTCCAAAGTCTGTGGTGGCATTGGCATACAGGTTGAAAGGACTGGTGCCAACACCATTGGTAAGGATGGTGGTTGGTGCTGGACTTGGAGTTGTGGCAGTGATTGATCTGCCACCCGCATGGGTACATGTCAGGACTCCATTGGTGATGGGGCTGTACTGTCCAGTTGTTTCCACAAGGATAAACAGATTGATATCAAAGCCAGGACTAGTGTAGCTGAATGAATGGGGACAAAACCCAGAATCACCTCTGAAATCTGTGGAAGAACTTCCAGCCGCCTCAGCATCAAACCTGTACCATGTTGCCCTGTCTGTACCCTGACCTGGCAGTGTTTCTGAACATTCTAAGTGGCATGAAACAGAAGCCAAAGCAGGTACTGGAAGGAGGAACTGTCTTCCAAAGTCTGTTGTTGCGTTGGCAAATAGGTTGAAAGAGCTGCTGGCAACACCATTTGCAAGGGTAGTGGTTGGCGTTGGACTGGGAGTTACAGCTGTCATAGGAGTTCCACCAAAATGATTACAGGTTATGACTCCATTGCTGATGGTGCTGTATGTTGCGGTTGTTTCTGCCAGGATAAACAAATCGATATCAAAGCCAGGAATGCAAAAACTAAAGGAGTGTGGACACAGCCCAGAGTCTCCCCTCTCATCTGTTGTGGAGCTCCCAGCTGCCTCACTGCCATACCTGTACCATGTTGTTCTGCTAGAGCCCTGACCTGACCTTGTTTCTGAACATTCCAGTGTACAGAACACAGCAGACAAAGCAGGCACTGGAAAAAGGAACTGCCTTCCAAAGTCCGTGGTGGTATTGGCATACAAGTTGAACGAGCTGCTGACAACTCCATTGGATAGGGTGGTGGTAGGGGTTGGACTGGGGGTAACAGCTGTGGTGGGAGTGCCCCCAAAATGAGTACATGTCAGGGCTCCATTGGTGATCGTGCTGTATGTTGCAGTTGTTTCCACAAGGATAAACAAATTGATATCAAAACCAGGAGTGAAGAATCGAAAGAAATGTGGACAGAGCCCTGAGTCTGAGCCTTCATCAGTTGAAAAGCTGCCAGTAGCCTCGGCATCAAAGCGGTAAGATGTTCTCCTGCTGGTACCTTGATCTGAACTAGTTTCTGAACATTCCATGACACAGAACACAGAAGACAGTGCAGGCACTGGCAGAAAAAATTGCCTACCAAAATCTGTGGTTTCATTTGCATACAGGTTGAACGAATCACTGGCAACTCCATTGGATAAGGTTGTGGTTGGAGTTGGGCTGGGGGTTACAGCTGTTGTTGGAGTTCCTTCTGAGTGGGTGCAAGTAATTGCTCCATTGGTGATCGTGCTGTATTGATCAGTTGTTTCCACAAGCAGAAATAGATTGATATCAAAACCAGGGGTGAAGAAGTCAAATGAATGTGGACATAGCCCAGAATCTCCCCTCTCATCCGCTGAGAAACTCCCAGTGGCCTCCGTGTCAAATCTGTACCATGTTGTTCTACTAGTCCCCTGACCAGAGGACATTTCATTACACACCAAAGTGCAAACTACTCGAGACAGGGCAGGTATGGGAAGGAGAAACTGTCTTCCAAAATCTGTGGTTGCATTTGCATACAGGTTGAATGAAGCACTGGCAACTCCATTGCTCAAGGTGGTGGTTGGAGTTGGACTGGGGGTAATGGCTGTTGTGGGAGTTCCCCCTGAATGGGTGCAACTTAGGACTCCATTGCTGATGGTACTGTATTGATCAGTTGTTTCCAGAAGCAGAAATAGATCGATATCAAAACCAGGAGTGGAGAAGCTGAATGAATGGGGACATAGGCCAGAATCTCCCCTCTCATCTGCTGAGAAACTCCCAGTGGCCTCGGTGTCAAATCTGTACCATGTTGTTCTCTCTATCCCTTGGCCATCTGAAATCTCATCACATGTAAATGTACACAAAACTCTTGACAGGGCGGGTACTGGAAGAAGGAACTGGCGCCCAAAGTCTGTGGTAGCATTGGCATACAAGTTGAATGAAGCACTGGCAACTCCACTGGTTAAGTTTGTGGTCGGAGTTGGGCTGGGGGTTACTGCTGTGGTGGGAGTCCCTCCTAAGTAGGTGCAAGTAATGGCCCCATTGGAGATGGTGCTGTAGGTGTCATCAGTTTGCACCAGCAAGTAAAGATCTATGTCAACTCCAGGAGTGTAAAATGTGAATAAATGTGGACAAAGCCCCGTGTCTCCCCTCTCATCTGCTGAGAAACTCCCAGTGGCCTCACTGTCATACCTGTACCAAGTTTCTCTGTCACCTCCTTGACCACTTTTGACTTCATCACACTTGAGTTTACATTTCACCCTAGAAAGAGCAGGAACTGAAGCCAGAAGAAACTGTCTGCCAACTGTGGAAGTGGTGTCATTTGCATACAAATTGAACTTGCTGCTGGATATACCATTGGTTAGTGAAGTAGTCGGTGTGGGACTGGGAGCTGTGGCTGTAGTTGGAGTGCCATGAAAATGAGTGCATGTAAGGATTCCATTGCTAATTGTGCTGTAGATGTCTTCCGTTGCAACTCTCAGATACAAGTCTAAGTCAATGCCAGGGGCAAAGAAGCTCAAGGAGTGTGGACAACTCCCTGAGTCTCTATCTTCATCAGTTAGAAAGCTCCCAGTTGCCTCAGTACCAAACCGGATGGATGTTTCCTTGTCGAACCCTTGGCCAGCCTGAGTCTCAGAACAAGTAAGAATGCACTCCACAAATGAGAAAGCAGGAACTGATGGCAGAAGGAACTGCCTTGAATAATCAAATTTTTCGTTGGAATACAAATTGAATGGGCTTGAGGCCACCCCATTAGACAAGCTGGTAGTTGGTGTTGGGCTGGGTATAGTTGCAATTGCAGAGGTACCCCCTGTGTGTGTACAAACCAGGACTCCATTGCTGATTGTGCTGTACTTGTCTTCAGATGCAACTCTCACATAGAAATCCAGATCAATTCCTGGAGATATGAGGCTGAAATAGAGTGAGCAGAGCCCAGAGTCTGAACCCTCATCTGTAAAACCACCTGTTGCTTCACTGTCAAACCTGTAGGATAGTTCCCTTCTGGTTCCTTGGTCTGTGTAGGCCTCTTCGCAAGTGAGAGTGCAGCATACTGATGAAAATGCAGGCACCGATGGAAGAACAAACCGCCTAACTGCATCAAAGGAATCGGTGGCATAGAGGTTGAATGAGCTTGTTGCTACCCCATTTGTCAATGTGGAAGCGGGCGTTGGGATAGGTACAGTTGCATTTGTCGAAGTGCCTCCAGTGTGGGTACAAGTCAAGATTCCATTGCTGATTGTGCTGTGCACATCTTCAGCTGCCACTCTGATGAACAAATCCAAATCAATGCCTGGAGTTTTGAAGCTCAGCATATGTGGGCACAGCCCAGAGTCTGAACCATCATCTTGAAAACTACCTGTTGCATCACCATCAAACCTGTAGGAAGTCTCCCTGCGGGTTCCTTGATCTGTGGAGATTTCGTCACAGGTGAATAGGCATAGCACACTGGAGAAGGCTGGAACTGCTGGAAGAAGAAACTGCCTAGTAGCATCAGATATTGCTGAGGCATAGAGGTTGAATGGTCCAACAGACACTCCATTTGTCAGGGTGGTTACAGGAGATGGGCTGGGGAATGCACCAGTTGTGGGAGTGCCACCAAAGTGTGAGCAGCTGAGGACCCCATTGCTGATTGTACTGTGTCTGTCTTCAGTCGCCACTCTAATGTACAAATCAACATCAATCCCTGGAGTCAGGAAATCGAATGTGTGTGGGCATAGCCCAGAGCTTGAGCCATCATCTGACAAACTGCTTCCAGTTGCTCTACTGCCAAACCTGTATGATGTCTCCCTGCGGCTTCCTTGTCCTAAAGATGTCTCAGAGCAGATGAATGTGCAAGTTACATTGGAGAAGGCTGTTACTGATGGAAGAATGAAATGCCTGGTATCATCAAACGTGTCTGTGGCATAGAGGTTGAATGGGCTTGTTGGTATTCCATTTGTCAAAGTAGCAATGGGAGTAGGATGAAAGGATGTAGTTCCTGTTGTTGAAGTGCCACCTGTATGGGAACATGCAAGAACTCCATTGCTGATTGTACTGTGCCTGTCTTCAGTTGCCACTCTAATGTACAAATCCGCATCAATCCCCGGAGTTAGGAAATTGAATGTGTGTGGGCAAAGCCCAGAGCTGGAGCCATCATCAGACAAACTGCTTCCAGTTGCCTCTCCATCAAACCTGAAAGATGTCTCCCTTCGGGAACCTTGACCAAACAAGGTTTCATCACAGGTAAAGTTGCACATGACTGAAGCAAAGGCGGGCACCGATGGCAAAAGGAACTGTCTTTCAAAGTCAGTACTCTCTCTAGCATACAAGTTGAATGGACTGGTTGCCACTCCATTGGACAAGGTGGTGGTAGGGGTTGGACTGGGTGTAGTTCCAGAGGTGAAAGTTCCGCCAGAATGTCTACAAACGAGTACTCCATCGGTGATTGTGCTGTATTTGTCTTCTGCGGCCACCCGTAAATACAACTCAACATCAATCCCAGGAGTTGTGAAGCTCAAGACATGTGGGCACAGCCCAAGATCAGAACCATCATCAGACAAGCTACTCCCAGTGGCTTCTCTGCCATACCTAAAGCTTGTTCTCCTCCGTGTTCCTTGACCATAGGATGTTTCATTGCAGGAAAATGTGCAGCTAACTGTGGAGAAAGCTGGTACATAAATCTCAAAATTCCTCTCCATGTCAACTTCATCGGTAGCATACAGATTGAATGGATCTGTGGCAACTCCGTTAGAGAGAAGAGTCGTCGGTGGAGGAGCTGAAAAAGTGGCAGAAGCAGAGGATCCATTAGCATGGGTGCAAGTGAAGACCCCCTTGGTGACAGGGCTATCAACAGCATCAATCTCCACAAGAAAGTGTATGTCAACATCAACTCCCGAGGTGGTAATCACGATGTTGTGTGGGCAGAAGCCTGAGACATCCCCATCATCGCTTACAGAGCTTCCAACTGCCTCGCTGTCGAACCTCCAGTATGTCCTTCGATCAAAGTCAAAGGAAGAAGTATTGGATGTGGTTTCATCACAGGTCAAGGTGCAGTTGACGAATGAGAAGGCAAGAACAGAGGGTAGTAGGAATGATCTGCTCTTTGGCGCTCCACCTGTGGTCAAGCTGAATTTGCTGCTCGCATTTCCATTGACGAGAGTTTCGTCGAGTCGTAGCCTGCGGTGGGGGTTTGGAGCGTGTCGACGAGGACTGCGGTCCTCCAGCTTATTTGTTTGGTATTTGCTTCGGATCCCTCTATCTCTCATCCTTCGATGGCGACGGAGGTCCGTCGTGATGGTTTGGTCCTTGACATTGTGATTTCGGATCTTTACATCTCTCAACCTTTGACGAGGCCGGACGTCCACCATGAGAGTTTGGTGCTCGGTCTTGGGACTTTGGATCTCTACTGGTTCGTCGCCCGTCCTTCGACGATGTCGAATCAACGGCCGCGAGGCACTGGTGCTAACCTGTTTGACCGCCACCGCCCCCAAAGAATTCTGAGTCGCCCACAGGGTGACGCCAAAAGTGAGTACGACCCACGCCTTGCCGATGCACTTCATTGTGAAGACTTGTCTTGTCGGATGCCTTAACTTGCGCAACACTTTTCCCTTCTCTTCTCTTCGCAGCCACGAAAAAGAGATAGCTGAGGAAGCTTGGATTCGATCCAAGTCTCATACTAGTAGGTCGATTTGCTTTAGTGCCGTTGGAGGGCGTAAACGAACGAGTCCCCCAGTAACTTGTAGCAGCAGTGTGAGATTCAATTAGAACGTCTCGTCGTTAGTTTTATCGCCAGAGGTGCACCTCGAGCTCATGTTCATACAGTACCTGGTACAATATCAAAACAAGACAGAGCTTTGGCGTTGATACGCTTGCCACAGGCACAGTAAAAGCCATAGTTTGTCAGTTGATCCTTGTTTTGTATGGTTGGAAGTTACTATGTTAGCAACGTCGATGAGAGTCCTATTCCGACTGACACTAGATAAACCTCGGCAGTCTTGCTGCCAGAGCCCTCAACCCCTTTAATTGTTTTTCCTGCTACGGTGGTCCCTGCTGGTATAAGGGTAGGGTTAGAATACAAATAAGTCAGCAAAAACTAAATAAGTATCCTAGGATGGTACTTTTAAACCAGCTAAAGCTATTTACATGCATCCTAGTAGGGGGGTATGCTTCTACCAGGAAAAACTCTACAGCTAGCAAAAGCTATATAACTAGTATTCTAGCTAGCTTGGGGTATCTGCTTCTAGCTTGCTATGGGAATCTGCTTCTAGCTAGGGGATCTGCTTCTAGCCAGCTAAGTGCAAGCTAAGGACCCTCCAGCGCATGTTAGTCACTAATAGTAGGGACTGACCACAAAACACGATGAAAGCAAGTCCATTTCGCCAAATGGCACAATGATGTAAGGCACCGTTCGCTGTGACGGATAATAGCCAATAGAATTTTTCAGACTACTGCCAATGCCCAATCACTGTTGAGAACACCCATCCGAACATGCTCAAGACAGTCGCAACAGATAGCAAAGCTCTAGCACTGACAAAATTCATGTCGGAGGAGCAGCCATTTCGCCCGTTGACGACCGGAAACAAAATGTAATTGGAGAAGCTGCCACTGAATTGCCGCTGTTGTCCCTACCACCGCTGTATTGGGCATGTCCAATAGGACACTGGATGTCATTGTCATTGTCATTGGGATGGCCAACCGGAAGAGCCAGGCCAACAAAGAGGACCGTTTTTCGTCATGTTGATAATTCAAAATCGAGCCTCTCAACAGACTTTTCCGCTCTAAGATCAAGCGTGGGCATCCTCCGTTCGTTCCAGCAGAAAAGGAATTTTGCCATTTTGGCGCCAACAATCCGCAAAAAGCTGGTGCTGGAATGGCCAACTCACATCTTACTGATGGTCACAATTTGGTGGACAAGAAAAACAAACCAATCTACTGGCAAAAATGTTGTCTTCATCCGGTGTCAAAAATGAGATCGACTGGTGGCGTGTGAAACACCGCAGCGATGCTTCAGTTGATTTCCTCGCCGATTTGGTGATGTCTGGCAATGGGAATCCCACAGTCCGAGTCAGAGACGAGCATGGCCAGCATCTTCCAACTGCTGGTGCCAAACCAAAACTTATTCTTGGCGAAATCAGGAAGGAGTCTCGCCAATATGGCATCGGACGGCCCCCTGTTGAAGTCTTACGTATGTTCCTAATTGATGGTAGTCAGAACACGTGCAAAGCTGTGACCAACAGCAACCTTACAAAGCACCTGCTCAAAGACCGATTGCTCTATCCTGGAGCCACCATCACTCTGGAAGATTACGGCCTAATCCGTCTCAGTCCACAGAACGGTGATCAGTTCAAAGGGATTATCCTAATCAACAAGTTCACCTGGACAGCTGCTCCTACAGGCAAGGTGGTTGACTACAGTTCGGAAGATTCTGATGACGATGATGCCATGGAACGCCCCCACCAAATGAGAAGCTACCCTCTCAGCCGCATTACTCTTAGCACTTTCCATCCTCATGTGAAGTGCAGACTTCAGGACAGTCTTATTACGTGGACAAGCCAAGTTTGTGATTATGACCCAGAGTCAGATGTTGGTCTGGTTTACAATGGATTACTCACACAGGGTCAGCTAAGGCGTGGCATTCATGTGGAGTCTGATGCTGCTCGAGAAGACTGGACAGCCATGATGAAACACCGCTATTATGGCACTGGTGATCCGTTCCATGGTTGGAAAGAAGATGCGAGTGAGGATGAGGAAGAGGGTTCATACCCATGGATTGAAGCATGAACAGGCCCATTCTTACTACTGCCGTGAATCCAGCAGCTGTGCCACTACGGATGATGATGATGAGTGAGGTCGTTCCTCATGTTCAAAGTGTGTAAGAACTGTTGTTGCCATGGTAGTACAGCAGCTGTCGAGTCAATGTTACTACGTCCCTCTATTGATCTGTGTATTGTCGCGTGATATCTTTATTGATGCCATGCATACAACACCACAACTATTACTATAAAATGTTTCCTATCTGTTACTTGACTATGTGTCTTCTTCCTTGTCTAGCTCTAGCATCTCCTCCAGGACATCTTCTGTCGTTCCTTCGGCTCCTTTTGGATCATCTTTGAATTCAAATGTATCAAGTAGAGCACTGGAAACGAAAAACTCTGCCAAACAATGAATTTGCTCTGTAGTTTCACTCTACAGAAGGGGCAGAGTGAACTCCCAGAGTTTTGGCTAAGTAATGAGTTCGAACAGGCCGCAGAATCGAATGTATGTGACCGAGTTGGCATGACAGGGTGGCAGGCGCATGATTCGATCCTTGCACAGACCAGGTATACTACTATCTATATATGTATACCTATATATATTTATAACCACAGGTTAACCGTCCTAGAAGAGGAGTTGTCACATTCACAAAGTACACGAAAAGAAAACAATTACGCCCTCACGCAAACCAAAAAACAGTCAAGGCTGCACTTACAAAAGACATATGGGTATTCAGAAAGAAGGCAACAAGAAGAACACATATTATCTTATACGTTAATTTTCAGGTCTAGAATAGTACCTAAACCTTCCACCTGAATCCTCTGGCTAGCCGGATATCTTTTGGCATGATGTGATTCTCTTGGCATGGATGCACAAGGTTGGAACATTGGAAATGTCCACAAATGGGCTTCTTAGCTTGCTGGAGAGCTTCATTGCAGACCCTTGGAACCTGATGTCTTTTCTAATATCAGAAGCTATGTCTCGGACAAACAAAGCGCATAGACAAGCGGCAGTCTCCTGATTAGGAGATTCAAGGCTTGAACTATTGGTACCATTCAATATACTCACTTAGAAGCACCAGTTCATGGGCGATAGACGCTGTCGCTTTTTTGACACACACCTTTCAATGGAGGAGGGCACCCTCTACACCTCGCACAGCGCCCGCCTGCCACATTGCCTCCACGCGCTTCCATCCGAGAAAATTGCGCCGACTGTGTCCGTCGAACTACATCTAACCGACATAACCCATGCAAGACAGTATCACGAGAATCTTAACCAAGTACAACCCCTATACCACTAATGAGAAATCCACACACTTATCCAATGTACCACCTCCTATTATATATATGAAGACTAAAATATGTAGAAACAACCAAACAAAGCAAATTGTCAGTCAACCATCAAAAGTATTAAATAAAACTAGCAAATGAAATGCTAGTTAAGCATGCACGCCTAATTGCTCTCTAAGACATAACATCAACTAGCTGGCCTACCTAGATATCCAACAATCCACATAAAGATCGTCAAAATGCAGTAACTGAGCTGGGGGAGCTGAGCTTTAAGGGGTCATTCTGTTTCTATATACTGTAGGTTTGGGTTCGTGGGCATGAAATTCAAGCAATCTCGTTGGCATGAACTCTTTTTTGAAAAAAGTGACAAGAACAAATGAGAACAACAAGGAAAACCAAAACCGACGGAGGGGGCAAGAAAGAGAATATTTGAAAAAATAGGTAGTCAACAAGTTTCACACAAAATCACACAATAGTACAAGGAAAAAAAACAACACCGGGCAAACGAAAACCAAGGAAAACAAGAAATAATAAAATACGCCACACTCGACAACATGACACACGATAATACTTAGGTAATTGAAACGAAATTAAAGTGAGTAGCTGAACAAGAAATGCAAGAAAAGACACGACAAAATAATGCACTAAGCTACCAGAATCTATGCTATAGTGAAGGTGCCCATCAAATAGTGGTCTAAAAGAAAAAGAAAACAACAACAAAATCACCATGACGACCAACTAAAACATTTAGCTTTGAAGATCAAAAGAAAAAAATCAACCAAAGTTGAAGAGCGACTCAAAAGCAGAATGATAGCGATAGGCAGCAACAACCAGAACACCTAAAAAAGACCACGCCCATCCAATTTCAAAACTACACGGGAAAAACATGTCAGCGAGTTCGAATCACTCTATTATGAGGAAAAGAAGAATGGAGCCATGTTTGATAGATGGAAGAAGATACGAAGAGATACACCCATTCAACATTAAAATCGCCTAAAAAATTTAAAGGTTTAAAAAGAAGAAGAGCAAGCAAAAAGTCAACAGGGACAGTAGACAAGAAGGACACCTGATCAAGGAAAGACAGGTACTCGAGTGACGAAGAGGACTCAGTAGGTGGTCAACCAGGTCCAAAAGAAGAATGCCAAAAAAGACTACCAGACAAAGAAGGACAAAGGAGGAGAGCACATCTAGAACGGCAGCAGGGAGCGACAAAAAACCCAATCAAGGACTGAACTTACACACACGTAAACTAGAAGGACATACCACTCAAGAGACGCTCATCTGACGAACCAAAGGCCCAGTGGGGCCAAAAGAATAGTGTACAGGCACGCTCCGGAGACTATGGACAGACAGCAAGCAGAAGCGACGAGGGAAGAATTAGACCATATAGCTCGCCAACTGTGACCGATCTGTCACTCAAACCATGCCTTCGCCATCATAGCTTGGCAGATCAGGAAGATTTACGGTTGATAGCTGCACCACAAGCAACTGATAGCTGACAAGAGAACTAACAATTTCACAAAGAAGGATGTGGAAAAGATGCTACAGAAGGAACACTGCAGTCTTTTCATGAAAAGGTATCGCATCTAGGATCCCATCCCAGTTTGCAATGTTTCAACCTCGGAACTTAAAGTAGATGTGTATGGGAAGAGAATGCTTGACGATGAAGCTAACATGAAATCAAGTGATGATGATTAAACGGTTGACGGGAACCAGTAGGAGTTGAAAGTCGACTCGTATGGTAATATGAAACTGTCCTGACGGAGACTCTGACACGACCAACTGACAAAGCACACAGCGACAGCATGCAAGCAGAATCAAGATGAGAGAGGAGAACGAGGAATGAAAGAGAAAGACAAAAGCTGTATGAAATTGGTCTATGGACCTCCTCTGATGAACAGAGAACAAGAGCAGAAAGGTAGAAATGAAGAGCTGTACAGTACTGTATTCCCAAAACAATCTGAAACGGTAAAGGTGGTCAGAAAACCAACTGATGCTCCTCCTGCCACAAAAGCAAAAACGGTCTCTATTGGAAGTGTAAATAATAAACTGGAGGCTAATGAAGGCAACAAAGTAGAAAATCTGTCGTCCTGCTCATCGTGGAGTTCACACATTGAAAGCTATGCGTCGAAAAGGGAGAACCTAACAATAGAGTAGAAGAAGTCTCATAAGTAAAGAATATAATCAGACCAAAACACAAACTGATTAAAAGTCTTCTATCTATAATTCATTAATTTTCTTTGGTCAATTTGGAGCTAAGACTAGCAACAGAGGTCCAAAATTAGTATACACACCTTCTTTCTCTCTCTCTCAATCTCATCTCTCTACTACATTATACTCATCATATCAACTCTCTACTCCAATACTCTCTCTACTCTCTTTTAGCACTCCTTCACTAATCTCTCCTACTACAGCAAACACCTCATCTACACCCAAGATACCTAGCTCCTCTAACTTGGTTTTGACCACACCAACACCCCGCCCACCTACTCATCAGGGGCAACACAGCACACCAACCACTAACCAGATCAATCATCTGGAAGAAACTCATACCTCTCTTTTTTTT